CTGCTTTGGGAGAGACACATACTGCACTCAATCGTTTTAACAAACAGTAGAATCACTCTTCAGTATAAGGGATTTTGTTTGATACATTGAACAGATTCAGACCCCTCCTACAGCAATTTCATATGGATGTCTGCTCTCCATGTATTTCTCCCCATTGAGGCAACCAGTTGCTAATTGGAGATCTTGGAGAGGATATCTAGTGATCCTAGTCCTTAGCAGCAAACCTTTGCATACAGTAGAAAAATTATTCATGTTAATGGAGAGAGCTAAGAGAAAACATTTTAGTATAAAAGTATGTTTTGTACTAGTGTTAAATCTATTTTAGCCACTTTTAATCAGTGTTTCCCTTCCTGTTCTAGTCCAGGGTCCCACAAAATGACCTGCAGATGATGGACAATATTGTGACCAATTTTTAATTCTGTAATTAGAGGTCTCTTATGGTGCAGTCACACTAAGACTTTTCTTCGAGCAAAATGCTGGTGGCTGTGTTGAAATGCCTCCCTTCTTGGGAGTTGAACCGAATGATGTAGGGAGGGATGATTTGCACTCTGCACATTCAGTCCCTGGAAACAGACATTCCTCTAAGTTTAGGAGCATTTCAATTCTTCCTCTTGAAGGAAAGTAGAGTGAAGAAATCTCGTGCAACAACTGTGGAGATCACAGGCAAAATCAGATGTATTTAATCTGTTTTATACATAGTTGAATTTGGCCCATGATCTCCAGTAGTGTTGCACAGCATTTGCTACTCCTTTAAGAAACGGAGGATAAGTGAATTACCTTTTTTGGTATTCAGTTCTATACATGAATTCAACATTTTTTCGTGGCTTCTTTTCCATGCTTTTTTATAATATGGTTATACAAATCTTTTTTGTGTGGGAAGAGGAAAGAAAACAGCTTCCAGTATGTTTTCTCTCCTTGCTGAACTTCTTGTCCAATTTAAATGTACAAAACTGAAAACAATTTCAAATGATTGGCAAAGGGTTTTGTGCTAATTGAGCTCAACATCATCTGAATCGGCTTATCATAGTACTCTGGGACAGTCCATGTTGTCTTGTGAAGCCATCATCCTAATTACTTCACGTTTGGAGAATCAGGTCCTTAATGCAGCAATGTGAGCATTCATAATGTCCAGTGAATTGAGGGAGTTTAGAAGCATGCAGGATGGGGCACAAAATTGATTTTTAGAAGGGAAGAGTAAGCTTTGTTTCTATTTTGAGACTCTTAAGTTGATGGTAGTAAAGGTTAGTTTCTGTTCCTATCTGTCCATCTTTAACTTTTCAATGTGGGATAGTTAGCTACAGTTCCTGATACCTTGCAGCATACACTTACTTTTACACTAAGTAAAGGAAAACTTAACATGTATAAGGAAAAAACCAGTAACCATTGAATCAAACCCAAAAATTGAGTGCAGATACATAATTTACTTGAACATTTTAGCAAATTGTAAGGAAACCTGCAAGGTACACTTGATTATGCACAAGATGTAGACAGTGGAATTCTTGATTATTTTTTTCTTAAACTATTATGGTAGCTTACTTTGAAACAAGCTGAAGTATTTAGTACTGTGATTTATGCTGCACAAGGTTTATTTTGATATCCAAGATATAGCTGTTCCAAATAATAACGTATGGGTTATTTTGCCCTTAAAGTTTGAAGTTACTCTGCAGTAGTTAATGCACAAGTGTTGGATTTTTGTTAAGTCCCCTTTTTTTAGTAAATAGAATATGGAGATGAGGAATTGCCTTAAGCGCTTCAGATGTTCGTTCTTGGATTATGGTTTTTGTGGTAACATCTTGCAGATCTTTTTACATTTGTGGAAAGTGCAGGTATATTAATGGTATTGCATAGCATCTTTGGTGCTATTTTTAGGTACAGTGTAAGCAAAGATAAAGTACTAGCTGCAGCTTCAGAATGAGTTGACATAGGAAGAATGTATGAATACCCTGAGACTGTTTCTGGCAAGCGGATTTTATTGGAGGCTACTCTGCCACTTGATTTGATTGCGCAAATTTGCAACCCTCTTGAATGGTGGTGCTGGCACAGCTCCCATTAGAGCTGTGCTAGATTCTTTGCATGTAGCACAGCATTTCCAAGTATGTAAGTAATTTTAATGGCCTTGCTCATTGTAAAATTCAAGTATTCGGGGGGGGAGGGGGAAGGATTGTAGCTAAATTTGAGTTCTCTTGTAAAAATGTGATTTATCTTTTAAATGTATTTCTGCTATTTACAGAAGTTTTTGGTTAAGGGACTGCTGTTAGTCTCTGTAAATTACATCTAACAGCACATAATAAGGGTTTTTTAATATAGTGGTAAACTGTAAAAAAATTTGCATAAAAAGGCAGTGGAAGTATGTGACTCTACTGAAGTTTAAGGGTTATTAATTTTGGAAATGGATAGTTGATAACTTACGTGCATGCATACCTTAAGTTTGTCTTCTGGTGCAGGATATAAAGGGCAGTAACTGAATTTTCAGTTTAGACTTACTTCCATGGTCTTTCAAAAAGCTTGTAAGTAGGAAAAGTATGTGCCCTGTGTAACAAGGCTGCAGGAGCATACACCTAGGTTTCCTACATCTTTTCTAAATTATTGATCCTTCACACCTCACACACACAAGGTAAAGAAACTAACTAGTTGCTTTAGGGAAAATATTCAGCTTCACAAAAAAGGTAACTCTCTACTCTTCTGAGCATAGTACATTATGGATTTTAATCATCTTGGTAGACTAATTCAAGTGTGATCTTCCACCTAAACTCAGATTTTTTCCAAACATTTTATTGACTGTTGGAAGGGGAAATCTGGCATTTGTTTTCCCAGCCACTGTGAAACGGGCTTTATGGATATCTGACTATCAGGCAAAGCTTTTCATTTCCCTCCATTGTTTAACACCTTTTGCTGCATGTGCCTTTCATAAGTGGAGCTATAATCCATGCTCCTGCTGTGGCATAATGTGAGTGTACTTAGTGATCTTGAATTGTCACACTGATTTTTACTTTACAGATTGCACATTGATTTCCATGTACATCACTTTGACAATACCTCAGGTATTCTGTAATCAGTGCTTCATTCCTCATTCTTTGTATAAAGTATCCCAAGATAACAGACCTGTCATAGCAGCACTACAGGGGTGCCTTAGAGCCCACAAAGTATTTTATTTGCTGTGTCTTTAACTCAAACTGTGTATGTCTTACAAACATTTTGTATTAATAAATTAATTTTGAAACAGCTGCATAATACCCTTGTCACAGCATCTTATTTTGGCTGAAATATGAACTGTGGAGGTTGAAAGATGCTCCTACTTGAGCATTAAGATATTGGTGTGTATTTTACACTGCAAGTATTAGATTAGATCAAAACCAAACCTGTAGAAATTACATGGTCTACTGAACAGAATGAGTGACCATCCTATAGTTACCTTTTTTGAATTCCAGCATTCTACTTCACCTTTTCTCTAGCTCTGTTCAGTCTTAAATACTATTTCTTCAATATATTTTCCTAATGTTTCAAGGTAACCATCATTTTTAATTAAAAATATGAAACTCACATTCAAAGAGGTACATTCAACACTGTCAAGGTGGAGCCTTGTTATAGCTGTAAGAATCTACTTAAATGTCAGGCAAAACTGCACTCTTCATTTAATGTCAGACTGACTTTATTGTTTTTCAGTAGCATAGCATAAAAGCTGCTGAATACAGTAAATGAGAGCTCTACCCAGAGGGAGGCAGGTCATACCAGTAGTAAGCTGAAGTACTAATGGATCTGTCTCTTACACTCCATACAACACTGGATCATAAGTAGTTTCCTACTGTTTTGAGCTGTCAGACCCATGTGGGGCAATACACTGTCAATTCATATCTGCATCTTGGCAAATGCACATTGCAAGTTTTCTCCTGTCACAGAAAGGTTTATCCAGTTCCCCTTCCTATTTTTAGGTGCCTACTTCCCTCCCCCCAAAAAACTATTTAACAGCTATTTATAGGATGGGTGAAGACAGACTAAAGGTAGCTAGTCCACCTGATCTATGTCACTTGTATGTTTCTCCTTGCCCAACTATTTTTTTCTATTATAGGACTGTAGCCCTAGCCTCTTTGTCCCAAGTTCATGTCTGTAAATAATAAGCTCTTTAATGCTAGGACTATCTCCTAGGTGGCCAAAAAGTGAAGCCCTGCCTGTGCATGCAGTGAATGGGCTGATATGAAATTTAGCTGGAGTACAGTACTAACTTTGCAAGCTTGGCCTTTAACCCCTGCTTTGCCTACACATCCAATGCTGCCAGCTCTTGTATATAGCTGGTGTCACTTCTTAGAGCCCACCTCTCACAGTGATGGAGTTAGATGAACAGAGCCCTGCACGCAGTGGTGCAAGCAGAAATCATTTCTTGCCAGTACTGCCCTCATGGGAGGGACACAAGGGGGGCAGGTACATGACCCTCCATGTGATGACTCCCCCACCCAGGGCCACCTTGCTCTCCCCATCCCCTAAGACACCCCACTTACCTGTGTAAAATGATGCTTTGGGCCCCTGGTGCTACTTGTACTTCCAGGTGTCATTGAGGATCCAGCAGGACCCCAAACTGAAAACTTCTTAATGAAAGGAGGATAGGAAGGACAATCACCCCACTTTCTCTTAACACACTCAGTGCCTCCCTTTGTACAAACTAAGTCTCTGCCAGCTTACCTTTATCTAAGGGTATGTGGTCAGCAGCGCTTTAAGGTGGTGGTGTAGTTGCAGCACCAGTGCTGGGAGAAAAAAACCCTGCCCCGATGCGGGGAATGGCTACCACGTGACTAAAATGCAGGGTGATGGGGGGGTTGAGTGCAGTGGGCAAGGGTTGTAGGTCTGGGTGGTGAAGCTATAGGTGTTGGAGGCAGCTGGTGGCAATAAGAACCAGATGTGGGGGAGAGTGGGTTGGAGGTGACATGGGGGCACAAGGGAAAGTTTTGGGACAAGGACTGCAGGAGGGGGTGAGCATGGTAGTGCTCTGCCTGCATGGCTACAAGCACCTGTATCACGTCCGCTTCGTGCTCCATAATGCTTGGCAGCTGCTCCATGCTTTGGTGCCAGTGATCCGCATTCTGCTGGTGGACCCTCCTTTCCCTCTCCTGCCACTCCTGTGCTTTTTGATTTTTCATTAAGGGACTGCTGCATTACTTCAGGCAACATGTCCTCTTTGCTTCTACGTGGCCTCTTCTTAATTCTTTGGAGTCTTTCGGCCAGCGATAACACAGACAGCTGAGATCTCAAGGTTGCATCTGTAAAGGCAAAATGCAACACTTAACAGAGGTAGCACTGTTCACACTAGACAGCATAATGATTTGCCTGTACTTAAAGACAACCACAGTCTACACAATGACAGAATTTGCCTATCCCAAAGCAAGTACACATAACCCACAGGAGCCCCAAAATGGTAAGTACAGGGGCAAGGGCAACTGATTGTTTCCTGGCCATACTGTCCTCTGGGGTTCTGTGCCTTGGTGAGAGCCAACAGCTGCAGGGGGCCCCCGTACTGAGCACTGTCCCCACATTTTCCACAGGAGTTTGGCCTGAAAGCTATCTCGCTGCTGAGGGTGACCTGGAAAGCAAGGGAGGGTCTTCTACAATGCAGCTTCCGCCCTGGCCCCTATACAGCTTGCCTGTGTGCAGCAATGGTCTCTCTGCCCCTCATGGCACAGTGGCGTGGACATGTTAGCCTGACTGGGACAAGGAGCACAGTAGCTCTTCCAAGGAACCTGTGCAAGCGGCTTGTCCAGCTTCTGCATGAGACCTTTGAAGAGATCACTGAGGCTGCTTACCACGATGTGAGAGAGCACATCAAAGCCCTATTCCACATCTAGGCATGCATGCAGCCTTCGCCCCAAGAGCTCACACTGAACAACTTCCTTTCCCCCCCCCCCAAAAAAAGCTGCTTACGGGGTGTTTGTCCTTCCCCAAGCACCAGCCGCTGCAACTGGCTACCTTCCTCCTGGCTTGAGAGCAGCTCTTGGCTGCATGCAGCTAGGGATGTCAAGGTGTCTCCCTCCTCCTCCTGCCTTGTTGACCTGGGCTCTGAAGCGTCCATGGTGGTACTTGGAGGGGAAGTGGGGTCACCCTCAAGTATTGCATCCAGCTCTTTGTAGAAACAGCAGGTCAAGGGGGCAGCACTTGAGCAGCTGTTTGCCTTGCAGGCTTTGCAGTAGGCATTCCACAGCTCCTTCACTTTAATCCTGCACTGCAGCGTGTCCTGGTCATGGCCCTTTTCCATCATGTCCCTTGATATCATAATTCCTACAGCTGGAGCACAGCTGGGACTGGACAGCTTTCTTCCCCCCAAACCCTGATGAGGTCCAGCACCTCGCCATTGTTCCATACCGGGGATTGCCTGGCGGGGGGAGGCATGCTTCCTCGGAAAGAGTCGCTGAGAGCACCCCACACCTGGCTGAGCAGACAGGAAGGGGACTTTCAAAATCCCCAGAGAATGTAAAGGGCGGGTGTGACGACTGGTCACCTGAGGGCAGGGCAGAGGAGTTCAAGGTGATGACCAGAGTGGCTGGAGCAGGCAGCGTGGGGCGCTTCTGGAGGCCGCTCAGAGCCGGGGCCTGGCCAGGGGGACGCGGCGTGAGCCCGGGCGCCCGGCGCTGCTTCCACGCGCTCTGTCTCGCAGGCGCAGCCACGCGCGGGTAAAAAAACACCCGCTTCTTCAGATGCGGCGGCGGCGGCGGCTTACAGACCTTCCGCCCCCGTCCCCCTGAGCAGCGCCAGACGCCGGCGGGCCCACGGGAAGCCTGTTTCAGGGGCCCGCAGGCGTAGGGTGCTCCTACCCGCCTCGAACCAACGGCTGCCCTCCCGCGCCGACCTGCCCCGTCCAGGCGGGCTCCCCGCCCCCGGCACCGCCCCAGGCTGCGGGCACAGGGGCCGCGGCGTGCGGGGCTCGTTCGAGGGCAAGGTTTCCGAGGCACCGCCCGGCCGAGGCGCGACACAGGGCCCGGCCTCGCGCCCTGCCTGGCGCATGCGCAGACGACCCCGCCGCTCTATCCGCCGCAGGCTGCTGCAAACCACGCCCCCCTGGCGGACGCAAGCGGCGCGCGGCGGCGGCAGCCAAGGTAACGGGATGGCGGCCTGCAGGGGCTGCCCGAGCCCCCCTGGGGCCGGGGTGGGGGTGGGGCCGGCTCCGGCGACTGCAGCCCCGGGGCGGACCCGGCTCTGGTCAGTTGGCGGGGGCGGGGGCCCCCGGTAGCTTCCGCCCCGCCCCGCCTCGCTGCGGGAGAAGCCACCCCGGGCTCGCTCCCTCCGGGCCCCGAGGCGGGCTCTGCGGCCTGCCCGGGAGCGAAGCGTCCTCCCAGCAGCCGCCTCCTCCGCCGCTTGCGTGGGGTGAGTCGGGGCGGGCCGCGGGCGTCTCGGCCCATGGCGGGGCTGCCGGTCTGGGCTGCCCCGGCGGGCTGTGAGAAGCGCTGCCTGTCGCCTGAGGGGGGAGCCGCACAGCCCTCTCCCGCCAGCCTCTCTGCGGAGACCGGAATGGAACCAAAATAACAGCAGGACTTGGGCCTTCCCATGCTTCGCGCGGCCAGCTGTCTGATCACAGACCCCCCTTCCCCAGCGCCCCGCGGCCCCCACGCTTTTCCGAGGCCCCGACCCCGCTCGCTGCCTCCGTCCCTCGCTCTCCCCCCTCACTTTCCCTGGGCTGGGGCAGGGAGTTTGGGTGTTGGAGGGGGTTCTGACCTGGGGCAGGGGGTTGGGGTGCAGGCTCTGGGAGGGGGTTTGGGTGTTGGAGGGGGTTCTGACCTGGGGCAGGGGGTTGGGGTGCAGGCTCTGGGAGGGGGTTTGGGTGTTGGAGGGGGTTCTGACCTGGGGCGGGGTTGGGGGGGTTGGGAGGGGTTTGTTTGAGGGGTTTGAGGGCGGGGTTTGGGGTGGTTGGGAGGGTTTGGGTGTTGGAGGGTTTGATGGGGCGGGGGTTGGGGGTGGGGGGGGTTTGGGTGTTGGAGGGGGTTTGATGGGCGGGGTTTGGGGGTATGGTTTGGGTGTTGGAGGGGTTTGGGGGGTTTGGGGGAGTGGGAGGGGTTTGGGTGTTGGAGGGGTTTGATGGGGCAGGGGGTTGGGGTTGGGAGGGGTTTGGTGTTGGAGGGGTTTGAGGGGGTTTGGGGTGATGGGGGTTTGGGTGTTGGAGGGGTTTGATGGGGAGGGGGTTGGGGGGAGTGGGAGGGTTTGGGTGTTGGAGGGGTTTGATGGGGGGGGTTGGGGTCTGGGAGGTTTGGGGTTGGAGGGGGTTTATGGGGGGGTTTGGTGGGTTTGTGTTGAGTTTAGGGGGGTTTGGGATGGAGGGGGGTGGGGGTTCGGGGTTTGGGGTGGGGTGTTGGGGGGGTTGTGGGGGGGGTTGGGGGGTTGGTTTGGGGTTGGGGGTTGGGGGGGGTTGGGGTGGGGGGTTGGGTTGGGGGGTTTGGGGGTTGGGTGGGGGTTGGGGTGGGGGGTTGATGGGGTGGGGTGGGGGGTTGGGTGGGGGTGGGGGGGTTTGTTGGGTTTGGGTGTTGGGGTTCTGACCTGGGGCAGGGGGTTTGGGGTGCAGGCTCTGGGAGGGGTTTGGGTGTTGGAGGGGGTTCTGACCTGGGGCAGGGGGTTGGGGGTGCAGGCTCTGGGAGGGGGTTTGGGCTGCAGGTACCCACCGGGCGGCACTTATCTCAGACGGGTTCTAGAAGCAGCAGCGGCTCCTGGGCAGCCAGGCGGCTCTGTACACTGCCCCTGCCTGTAAGCATTGCCCCCGCAGCTCCCATTGGCCATGGTTTCCTGTTCCCCGCCAATGGGAGCAGCGGAGTTGGCGCTTGGTGCAGTGCGCAGAGACCCCTCTGGCCGCACCACCTCCTAGGAGCCGCTGGACATGCCAGCTGCTTCCAGGAGCGGCGCGGAACCAAGGCAGGTAAGGTGTCAGCCTTAGCCCTGCTCTGCTGCCGGACTTCTAGCGGCTTAAAGTCTCCAGGATTAGCTTCAGTAGCCTCCGGTGTATCGAGCCCAGTTCCGGGAGACTCCTGGCCAGACCGGGAGGGTTGGGAATCCTAAATATGCTCAACATGCTTTTCAAAGATTAACTGTTCCTCAGAACATAGAATTTAAGGCAAAAAGGGACCATTAGATCATTTCATCCAGTGCTTTTCCACCTGTCGTTCACGGACTCCTGGGGTCTGCAGACTATGTCTAAGATTTCCAAAGGGGTCTACACCTCCATGTGAAATTTTTTAGGGGTCTGCAAATAAAAAAATGGCTGAAAACCACAAATCTAGTCTGACCACCTCTAGATCACAAGCTACCACCCATACCTGCACAGTAACCGATGACCAAAATGAGACCCAAGTATTACAGTCCACAGGAGACTAGACTGTTATATGCCCCAGGCAGAGAACAGGAGAGTGCACCAATGTCTGAGGCCCCTACAATGGGAGGGATTAAGTGAAATATGGCCGGATAATTTTGGCAAGTGACCCCCACACATACTCCGCAGAGGAAGGTGACATCCCTACACCCCCGGGCACTGCTAATCTGATCTGGGGGAAATTCTTTTCTGACCGCATATATGATGATCCGTTAGACCCTGACTATGTGAGCAAAATCCAGCCAGCCAGCCAGCCACCTGAGAGAATGCTCAGTGCTACCTCAGAGTCCTAGCCCTCCCTGTCCAGTGTCTGATCTCCCATGATGCTTAAGAAGAATGAGATTAAAAAAAAAAAGTCCTCTCAGAATACATTGGGCAGGGAGATTATTTACAACTGTTATAATAAAACTGACATGCTTCAATTACCTAAAACATGGTGAGTAGGTAGAACGGATGAGATTAGAATTTGACTCCCCATCCTGAGCTCAGACCATTGGGCCAACTAGAGAAATCCTTTGCTTATGAAATCAGACGCTGCTGAGTTTGATTGTATGCTGGTGTTAGTGCCAGAATAGAATCCAATTTACAAAGTATCTGAAAACCTTACTAGAGAAGAGCCATAGGTGTTTCCCACCCAGCAGATTTCCCAAATTATGCCAGCTGAGAAGTGACAGATTGAACTGGAGTCTCAAACTTTGATACCCTGAATGGTAGTTGCATTCTACTACTAGTGCTAGATTTAAATGTTAGTGTTCAAACTCACTGTGTTTAAAGCTCTGATTTATGCTTGGTTGACTAGCATCATCAGTACTACTCTAAGCTCATTTTATATGGACAGGGAACCATGGAAGCTATTTAGCTGAGGAAGAGCAGGATTGAAGAAAGGAAATGAACCAATGTTATCACTCTGAACAACACAATACATGAGACATAATCAGAGATGTAATCACAGTATAAATGACTTTCTAGTGTCTGGTGTCTCCTCAAATGCAGGATTTTCTCTCACAGAATGAAGTTTCACTGCATTCTCATTAGATGCCCCTATTTCTGGTCAAGTGAAAGAAAAAATAACACACAAAAGAGGAAAACGTTCTCTTTCCTATTAATCAATCCTGGTTTCTTGCTCTGATTGTTTTAGATCTGTTTTTCCTCTTTCTCCCATTATAGTTAAATATTTTAAATAACAAAATGGTCTCAATGCAAACATTGTTCCTCTCCCCAGCCAATGAGTCTTTTTAGGTAGTCTCTCTTATTTAGTTGGCATTTCTTCCCCTTCAGTAGGTGATTGTTTCTTATTAAACATGATAGTTGCGCTTCGATGGTGTTCTCACTCCAGTAGCTTTCCTAGATGTCTTGCTTATATAGTTAGGATTGCATCTAGATTGGCTGTAGTTTGAAGGGGTTTTATTTGTTTAAAATATGTTTTTTCAAAGATAAGACTAGAAACCCAGCAGTTTCACTGATTAGCACCCATTTCATGTGGATTTACACATAATTTGCATTACTCTTTTTTTTCTTCCGTAAGTACTTTATGCTCACACAATTTACTATAGTTTCAATTAGCTTTTCAGAACTGTTATACCTTGGTATTTAAAAAGTAGATTTTGTATATATTTTTTTTTTACTTAAACTAAGTGACCTTCCTTTTCTCACAGAAAAGCAAAGAAGTAATACGCAATCTGAAAAGATGAAAAAGACTGACCTGCTTTCAAGTGATAATCAAGTGAGCCCTGAAGACTAATGCAGAGAATTAATAAGAACGTGGTTTTGGCTCTTCTTACCTTGACAAGTTCAGTGTTTCTCCTGTTCCAGTTGTACTATTATAAGTACTACTTATCTCCAAAGGTAAAAAATATCACTTTAAAGACTTGAATTTGCGGGGAGGGGGGGGATTAAAATAGTACTTATTATGCTCAAGTACATTAAAAATATTAACTAATTATTACTCAAAAATCCCTGTGGGATTGACGACTATTACCATAAGATTGACTTGCAAAAGTTAAATACATTACCCAACAGGACACAGTGAGTAGGTACCATAGAAAAAATGAGGTTAGAATGTTACTCTCAATCCTGAGCAACTCTGCCAGCTAGACAAAGACTTTACCAATGAAATCAGACACTGGATTGAATTTCCGCGATTCCAGGTTTTTCTGCACATTCGAACTCGGTCTGGTACATCAAAAGTTTTTTTTAAAACTTCCCAAGTGCATGCACCTTTACTTAACCCAGACTGATGTATGATTCTGTGTTGAAACCTGAGACAGCCTTGAGTTTCTGTAAGGCTGTTTAGGGAAGCAAAAAAGTAAAATGCAATTTGTTGTTTGCAGCATCTTCAACAGATGTGTTAAAATTAAAAGAAGCTACTGTTTCTGCAGAATCAGTCACCTTTAACCTGTCTCTGGGGTTCTATTGTAAAGCTTTCTAGATACCAAATGTAAATTCCTGTAGTTATGATTCTGATTGAGAACCAAGAGGCACATGTGGCTAGATGTAATCTTTCCGTAATGGGAAAATAAAGGCAATAATTAGCCAAGATGGTGCTAGAAGTGAAATCTTGCCTCATGAGGATTACATGGTTTATCTCTAGATTTCAGTACACATAGTACAAGAACTGAAGGCAACAGTATGTCTTCACTTACTCCTTCTTTAGAAGGAAAGTCTGTTGGTATCTAATTTCCTGCTTAGCTCTTTTGGTGTGGGGAACCCTTATTCAGTCTGAAGTCTTCTTAGTGTTACATGACATTACAGTCTGACAGCTCATATGCTGTCCACAGCAAGGCTGTGAATTAGAAATCATTGTCCTCTAGGTAGCTAGGAATCTGAGGCTTTAACACAAATATTTTCTTATGACACAAATATTTTCTTATGACACAAATATTTTCCTTCTCAAACTTATCCATTGAGGGTCATATCTTTGACAGGCTGCACCAGTGAACCTAAGGTATGACTTTTCCCCAGTGTTCTGGGGCTGCTGGAATTATTTCATCTTCCTTTTTCAGGGTGGGTTGATTTAAATCACTGATTTTAATCAACAAATAGGAAACCTAGATTTAAAAAATCAGTTTTAATCGTGTTTTGCATTTGTACATTTTAGTATATTGCTTAAACTTTAAAGAAGTTATTTAATTTTTATATTTTTTTGTTAGAAAATGGTGAATGATGCATTTCTTGTTCACTAGGTTAATTTTTTACTTGCACTTTGCATCCAGTCCTAGTTGGATGGAAATTCAAATTACATTTAAAATGCAGACAACCAGCATTTTAAATTAAATAAAACTACCTTAAATAGCCTGGATGCATAAGAAAATAATTATCAAAACATATCTTGCCTTTAAAACTAACTGATTTATTAAACGAAGTATTATCTGTAGTTAGTGAATTGAACTTATTGTTTCTGGTTACCATGTCTTCATTTAACAGTAGTAAATATCATCATCTCACGTTGTTTTTAATCATAGATTGAAAAGCAAGAAAGCTTGTTTTCCTTTTCTAACTCCCAATTATTTTTTTAATTTTGAGTGCACTGAACTTGCTGAACAAACTGAAATGAAGGAAATATTCTCGCTGCAACCTCAGAAGAGGCTACTGCTCTCAAAAGCTGGTTTAGCACTTCAGCATAATCTGATTTCAGATCCTCAGCCAGTGACTTCCACGAGTTCAGTAATTTGACTTTCTTTAATACTTTGGCAGCAAACACAGAATCATAGAATATCAGGGTTGGAAGGGACCTCAAGAGGTCATCTAGTCCAACCCCCTGCTCAAAGCAGGACCAAGCCCCAACTAAAACATCCCAGCCAGGGCTTTGTCAAGTCTGACCTTAAAAACATCTAAGGAAGGAGATTCCACCACCTCCCTAGGTAACGCATTCCAGTGTTTCACCACCCTCCTAGTGAAAAAGTTTTTCCTAATATCCAACCTAAACCTCCCCCACTGCAACTTGAGACCATTGCTCCTTGTTCTGTCATCTGCTACCACTGAGAACAGTCTAGATCCATCTCTTTGGAACCCCCTTTCAGGTAGTTGAAAGCAGCTCTCAAATTCCCCCTCATTCTTCTCTTCCGCAGACTAAACAATCCCAATTCCCTCAGCCTCTTCTCATAAGTCATGTGTTCCAGTCCCCTAAATGTACTGCTTAATATTATTTTTTGTATTTAATTTAAATGATTTTAATAGATTATAATAAGTTTAGGCCTAAACACAGGTTGTTATCCAAAATGTAATTTTAAATAGGTTTATTTTTTTAAATAAACCTATATTTAATTTACATTTTAAAAAAATCCTTTTGTTTATTCTTACCCACCCTGTCCTTTTTTCTTTTACTAATTGTCCTATTGACTTGGAAACGTAAGGCTAGATCCAGCAGTCCTTGCATGGTCCTTCTAAATATATTAAGTGAATATTCCTGGGCATGATTTTTACTTCATGTAACATATATAAGTGACTTAAAACTGCAATCCTTGAAATGTAAAGTGTTTGTGAAAAAGATATGTACAATTTCCTTTTATAAATCTAAACAAAACCACCATTTGGGACATCTTAGGTTTCAAAATATCTTTTGTCCTTGTTCTTGCTAGAATGGAGCTGTTTTTTCAAAAGTTAAAGGAAGCCAGTCAGGACAAGACGGCATACAATGGGTATGTACAATGTTATTTATTTATACCGCATCCGTGTAAGTATCAATAAACTCTTATAGAATTGCAAATTATGGGTCCTCTTCTGTATCCAGTTTAGTCATTGGGAATTTTGTTGTTTTAAATGGAAGCAGCCTTGATCTTACCGCCCTGAGCATGACCATTAAAGTAAAGGGGATTTCTGAGTGCTCGGCTGTCTCAGGATCATGCACCTGTTTCTAGAGTGGAACTTAGGCTTGTAGTGGTGGCATCAGTATAACAAAATAGTTTAGATACAGGAAGTGAAGAATAACTTATCCTATTAAAACAGCAGGGACAAGTTAGATAAACAGCATGTAATTTAACCTGATTAGAATTGGGCCAAGACACTAACACAGAAACTGGAAATCTTTAATTTACCTTTTTTAAAAGTGAATTTAGTGTTTGTGAAAGGTATCAGATTGACGGATTTGAACACTGAAAGTCTTCTGAAGTCTTCTGTTTATCAATAGAATACACTTGGGCATGCTAATGGGAGTGCAGTGCGAGCTTCCCCAAGCTCCTGTGCCCCCATCTATAATATATTGGTTTCAAAACCTTTTCAGTTGGAACGGTTTAAATTGTTCGTTCAACTCTGTTTGACGCTTAATATAATGGTGCTTCAGGGCTCAGAGGGAAGTCATTTTCCATGTCTATTCAATCCTTGGCCCCTTTTGATGAGACAACCAGCACAGGTCACAGTTTGAGCCAATTGTGACAATTTACAATGATGTAAACTTCTCTCTCATCGGAATTGGACTCAGGCCACATACTGACAAAACAGTCCGGCATGGTTGAACCTACCAGGAGCAAAAAGCCCCCGCTGACACAGCCTCTGGGGATCATTAGAGCATGCAAACTGTCATGCCAAATTATCTACCTTTTAGGAAATAGTTTATTTTAACTACAGTTCATAATCCTGTGTATATGCTACAGTACAGTAAGACTCTCAGTAGCCTTCATGAAGAATCCAAAATTGAATATTTAAAAAGAGTTGATAGCAAGTGTGGAATTATGCAATTATTTGTATTTGGATTTTTGTCCAGAGTCCTTGCCATTGCTGGTTAAATTTTATACCAGAAATGTTTGTATCTATGTTCACCTTTCAAAAATCTGGGTAAAGTAAAAAATGCCTTCTGTTGGATCACCATACAGTGTAATATTTATATGTACCAGATGATGCCTTTGTCAGGTGAGCAATATTACAAAGCATTTGAAGACATCGGTTGAAATTCCCTATTTTTGAAACAGAGGTATTAAGCTAGGTTTGTGGGTTTGGGGACCTTGGAGATTCTTTTGTCTGTGTAGTCCTTAAGACACTTTTCCACCTTTTAAGAAACATTGCTGCAGAATCTGGCTTTGTCTTTCCTTGTCTGATGCAGAAGTTCTGATCCATGCCTTTGTGTCCTTCCAAACTGAATATTGAAATGCTTTGCTTATTGGAATTCCAGCTTGTTTTATACTCTGCAGCTGGCACAAAATCACCAGCTAAAATTTTTACTGGCAGATAGTTACATTACATAATACTGCACACTCTTCCAAGTTGTTTGACCTTGTTTTGCTTGCTGTCACTCTAGCTTCATGTTAGTTGTTTATGCTGACTTATAAAGCTCTTCACAAACAGGGGGCAAAGTTACCTTTCTGGGTCTTATTACTACTTCAATATCAAGATATGTTTTGGTTGGCTGCTTTTTTTAGGGCTTAATCCTGCAGGCTGTTGAGCACTGCTGAAAGAAGCTCAGAGAGCCAAAGTTGTGATGCTTATGCTTGGTATTTGTTCAGAACCTGCTTAGAAAAGTGGGTTGTGAACAAATCTCTGTGCCTGCAATGAACACCACACTGATGGTTATGGAGAAAAGTGGATGTAAGGGGGAAACTGTGTAGGGTTGTCAACTTTGTAATCACACAAAACTGAATATCCTAGCCCCGCCCCTTCCCTGTGGCTCCGCCTCTTGGCCTGCCCCATCCCCGAGACCCCACCCCAGGGTGCGAGAGGGGGCTCCAGGCTGGGGCAGGGAGTTGGTGTGTGGGAGGGGAGTGAGGGCTCCAGCTGAGGGTGCGGGCTCTGGAATGGGGATGAGGGGTTTGGGGTTCAGGCTGGGGGGGGTGGAGCCGAGGGATTTGGAATGTGGGAGGGGGCTGCGGGTTGAGGCAGGGGGTTCGGGTATGGGAGAGGGTACGGGCTTTGGGCTGGGGGTGCGGACTCTGGGGTGGGGCCAGAAATGAGGGCTTCTGCTTTTCGGGGGTGGCTCAGGGCTGGGCCAGAGGGTTGGGGCACAGGCTTACCTTGGGCGGCTCCCGGTCAGCGGCACAGAGGGGCCAAGGGAGACTCCCTGCCTGTCCTGGCTCCGCGCTGAGCCCCGGAAGTGGCCAGCAGGTCTGGTTCCTAGGTGGGGGGGTCAGGATGCTCCGCGCACTACTCTCACAAGCAGGCACCGCATTCTTTTCTCCCCCCCCACCCCTGTCCCCGCCGCCCGGCCAATGGGAGTGTGGAGCGGGTGCTCAGGGCGGGGGCAGTGTGCGGAACCCCGTGCCCATCCCTGCAGGCGCCAGACCTGCTGGCCACTTCCAGGACGCAGTGCGGTGCCAGGACAGGTAGATACTAGCCTGCCTTAGCCCTGCAGCACCGCCAGCTGGACTTTTAACGGCTCAGTCAGCGGTGCTGACCAGAGCCACCAGGGTCCCTTTTCGACAGAGCGTTCTGGTCAAAAACCAGATGCCTGGCAACCTTAAGAATGTGCCCTGGCTGTGTCCTTTGGTTTAAATACGGTCCTGCGCTTGCAGGCGATGTGCATAGTAGTCATTTTAAAGATGTTTAGGTACTGCCAGCCAGGTGTAATGGCTACTCTGGTATGTTCAAGAGCTGTATTTGGGGAAAGTCAAAGCAGGAGCAGCTGCGAGGACTGCCTTCTTACACAGAATATGTGATGATTCTAAGAAGTGGCATTTCTCATAGCCAGCTACTGAGTGCTTTGTGAGATGTACTGGACGTGATGTTCTTTCTGGCTCAACAGCCTGCAGGAATAGTGCCCTTGTAGCTTTTACTTTACTTTACTTGGATTGTTAGTAACAAAGCAGAATACTTATCCTGCTGGTGGCTCATTGCAGTTGTTTCTCAGCTTTCATCCTGCAGGATAAAGCCCTAAATTATTCAACTTCTCTGAATACCTGAAAATTCTTGACTTCAGGACTATCGCCCGCTACCTCTTGTTTAAGTCTAGGGTGACAAGATGTCCCAATTTTATAGGGACAGTCCCGATTTTGGTTTTTTTTTCTTATATAAGCTCCTATTATGCCCCACCCCCGTCCCAATTTTTCACACTTGCTGTCTGGTCACCCTATTTAAGTCTAAACTTGAAGAGCATTTCCTCTGTAAACAGTGGCTGTAAAAATGACACCTTCCTTTTCCCACAGATTTATTCCCTGATATTCAGAGGCAAATCTGCTCACTTTAATGACAAAAGTAATACTTTTACTACTTTACCTTCCTAGTAGTTGTGTTGGCTCTGCAGAGCTCACGAGGGGAATGGATTTCATCCCTTCTTGTGAAACTCCTATAGAACTGGTGCATAAATTCAATTTGCTGAGCTGTATTCTGTTGTCACTTACACTTGTGAATCCCTGTTAAAGCCAGTCGTGTTCTAGAGGTGGCAGAATATGGCCCACAGATGTATATTATTGGACACAATGTATGACCCAAACAAAACCATAGCTTGACATTCAAATGCCAGGTTCAGATTGCAGGGTGGTAGTTGGAGGGTGGGGCAAAGTCTCTTGACGGAACACCTTTGATCTGGAATCACTGAGGTATGATGAACATGCAATCCTGCCATGCCATTTTTACATTCACTTTTCAGAGCAGAACTGCACATTAAGGCATTTGCTTGTAATTGATTTAATCCATTCTGCAGTGTTAAATTAGATGAACTTTTAATCGTTGTCACAGTACAATAAATTGCTGTAAATGTTTGTTGATTTTTCATCTTCCATGGAGATGTGAATGTATCTAATTGAAAGAATACCTGTGTATGAGTCAAGCTAACAAATCACCCACCTAGAGACTGGATAATCTTGCTGAAGCATCTAGTCCTTACAGTACTTTTTTTATACTTAAAAACATCAGAGTGGTCTAGACAAAACAAAGAGTGCATTACATATATGCTTGTCTGAACAATGCTCATTTTGTACATACCAGAAACCATTGATGGCATGAATTGTGCAGTTCCCCTTAATGGAGTGACCAAATGTCCCAGTTTGCTGAGGATACTCTTGAAATCCACCTGCTAATACTTCTCCCTTGCCCCTCAAAAATAAATAAGCAAAAATTCCTGATTAGATTTTGCCAGTTTCACAGCAAAAGACACCGTGAAATAGTGCTACCATGAGCATGTTTTATGATCAAAGATAGTTTCCTTCACTCTTCTTGTCATTTCACCATTTGTAAAATAGGATAAGAATATATATCTGTTTCTGTCATATTGATGAGAATTAATTAGTTAATACATGTATAGTGCTTTGAAGACCTAAAGTGGTGAATACATGCTAATCATTATTATGGCATAAAGTATCTACTAAGTGTAATAATAAACTCCTCTTCCTCCCAAATTTGAATGACCGTTTTGTAAGATGACTAGCTCACATGATTATATAATCCTGTTGACTGGGATTTTTTAAAAGTAGTCTTGTAAAGAATTTTAATTCTAATTCGTATGAATATCACAATTTGTGCTTTCAGGAAAATAATATATTTTTGTTAACTTATTTCAAAAGTGAAAAAAGCCAGTACATTTCACTAAACCCACAATTTACTCTTAATTTTGCTGCTGTTGTCTAACGATCATTGTCTCAAAAGCTAGTCTGGCCCTACTTTTTCCAGTAGAGGGCTCTGCTGTACAGCAAGAACTGCACTGGCCAGAAACACTGAACCCAAAATGTGAGCTTAGAGTCCTTAAAAATATATGGACACGAGAGCACCTATATGTCCACATAAGGACTACATCATACACATGCTATTGCACATAAAGTATAGCCAGTCAGTGAAGGATTTTAAATGTGTGTCACGGGACAACCCTGTTGTTTTATGTACAGTAACTCCTCACTTAACGTGTATTTATGTTCCTGAAAAATGCAACTTTAAGCGAAACAATGTTAAGTGAATCCAGTTTCCCCGTAAGAATTAATGTGAATGGGGGGTGGGTAGGTACCAGGGAAATTTTTTTTTTGCCAGACAAGACTCTCTCTCTCTCTCTCTCTATATATATATATATATACACACACACAGTATAAGTTTTAAACAAACAATTTAATACTGTACATAGCGATGATGGTTGTGAAGCTTGGTTGAGGTGGTGGAGTCAGAGGGTGGGATATTTCCCAGGGAATGCCTTACTGCTAAATGATGAACTAGCAATTAGCTGAGCCCTCAAGGGTTAACTAATTGTTGTTAATGTAGCCTCACGCTCTACAAGGCAGCAGGAATGGAAGGAGGGGAGACAGCATGGCAGACAGAGACACACACCTTGTGTGTGAGAGAGAGAGAGATGCACATTTCCCCTTTAAGTACACTGACACCACTCTTAAGTACACTAAGGGTATGTCTACACTACGAAATTAGGTCGAATTTATAGAAGTCGTTTTTTTAGAAATCGGTTTTATATATTCGAGTGTGTGTGTGTCCCCACACAAAATGCTTTAAGTGCATTAACTCGGCGGAGTGCTTCCACAGTACCGAGGCTAGAGTCGACTTCTGGAGTGTTGCAATGTGGGTAGCTATCCCACAGTTCCCGCAGTCTCCGCTGCCCGTTGGAATTCTGGGTTGAGATCCCAATGCCTGATGGGGCTAAAACATTGTCGTGGGTGGTTCTGGGTACATATCGTCAGGCCCCCGTTCCCTCCCTCCCTCCGTGAAAGCAAGGGCAGACAATCATTTCGCGCCTTTTTTCCTGAGTTACCTGTGCAGACGCCATACCACGGCAAGCATGGAGCCCGCTCAGCTCACTGTCACCGTATGTCTCCTGGGTGCTGGCAGACACGGTACTGCATTGCCACACAGCAGCAGCAACCCATTGCCTTGTGGCAGCAAACAGTGCAATAGGACTGGTAGCCGTCATCGTCATGTCTGAGGTGCTCCTAGGTCGCCTGTGTGAGGTCGATCAGGAGCGCCTGGGCAGACATGGGCGCAGGGACTAAATTTGGAGTGACTTGATCAGGTCATTCTGTTTAGTCCTGTAGTCAGTCCTACTGGACCATCTTATGGTGAGCAGGCAGGCGATACGGATTGCTAGCAGTCCTATTGCATCATTTTCTGCCAGGCAGGCAAGAGATGAGGATGGCTAGCAGTCCTATTGTACCATCTTCTGCCGAGCAGCCATGAGATGTGGATGGCATGCAGTCCTTCTGCACCGTCTGCTGCCAGCCAAAGATGTAAAAGATAGATGGAGTGTATCAAAACAAGAAATAGACCAGATTTGTTTTGTACTCATTTGCAAACCTCCCCCGCCCCCTGTCTAGGGGACTCATTCCTCTAGGTCACACTGCAGTCACTCACAGAGAAGGTGCAGCAAGGTAAATCTAGCCATGTATCAATCAGAGGCGAGACTAACCTCCTTGTTCCAATAAGAACAATAACTTAGGTGCACCATTTCTTATTGGAACCCACCGTGAAGTCCTGCCTGAAATAGTCCTTGATGTAAAGCCACCCTCTTTGTTGATTTTAACTCCCTGTAAGCCAACCCTGTAAGCCGTGTTGTCAGTTGCCCCTCCCTGCGTCAGAGCAACGGCAAACAATCGTGCATCTGAGTTGAGAGTGCTGTCCAGAATAGTCACAATGGAGTCACTCTAGGATAGCTCCTGGAGGCCAATACTGTCGAATTGTGTCCACAGTATCCCAAACTCGACCTGGCAAGGCTGATTTAAGCGCTAATCCACTTGTCGGGGTGGAGTAAGGAAATCGATTTTAAGAGCCCTTTAAGTCGAAATAAAGGGCTTCATCGTGTGGACGGGTGCAGGTTTACATCGATTTAACGCTGCTAAATTCGACCTAAAGTCCTAGTGTAGACCAGGGCTAAATTGTTAAGTTAATCAGCAAGCTGAGACCCACGGCAGCTGCTGCCAGGAAGCTCCCTCCGTCCTGAGCCCTGTCGTGTGTCCCCCCGCTCTATGGAGATGGAGTAAACAGCAGGGAGGGGGACACCCTGACATTAGCCCCCCTCTCCTCCTCCTTCCCCTCTGCCCCCCAAGCAAACAGGAGGCTCTGGAGAGCAGCTCCAAGGCAGAGGGTGGGAGCAGCACATGGCAGTGGGGGGAGGGACAGCTGAACTGCCAGCAATTGATAGCCTGCTTGGCAGCTGCTGCACAGAGAACTTAGGGGAGCAGGGAGCTGATGGGGGGCTGCCGGTCCACCCTGGTTCCAAGCCCCCACCAGCTAGCTCCAACGGGCTGCTCTTCCGGCAAGCAGTGGACAAAGCAGGCGGCTGCCAAACCACGTTATAAGGGAGCATTGCACAACTTTAAACGAGCATGTTCCCTAATTGATAAGCAACGTAACAATGAAACAACGTTAACCAGGATGACTTTAAGTGAGGAGTTACTGTACACACTTCACTCTGTAAACTCCTTTGACTCTATCAGGTTTCAGAGTAACAGCCGTGTTAGTCTGTATTCGCAAAAAGAAAAGGAGTACTTGTGGCACCTTAGAGACTAACCAATTTATTTGAGCATGAGCTTTCGTGAGCTACAGCTCACTTCATTGATGAAGTGAGCTGTAGCTCACGAAAGCTCATGCTCAAATAAATTGGTTAGTCTCTAAGGTGCCACAAGTACTCCTTTTCTTCTATCAGGTTTGGTGCTTATTCCACTTTCTGTTCCCATTGCAGAAGTCTTATTGGGAGAGATCAATTCCTAATGGATTCATAATTTTAAAAGGTTAATTTTTACACACTGGTAGGGTGATCTGATTCTTATTTTTTGCTCTTCCAAACAGCACGTGATTAAGAAATTCCTTGGTTTAGTGTCCAGTCACAATGTACCAGTGTATCTCATTGATCCTTTGGTTCTGGGATTAATTCATAAAGACTTTGAACAGCTCAGCAGCTCTTCTGATGGCATGAGCCCAGAATGCAAGTATTTCTGTGTTCCACGGGATTTCACCACATTTGCACTACTGGATAAAACATGGAAACATGAAGTAAGATTTTCTCCCTTTTCAGTTTTGTCTGCTGTAATGCACCCAGCCATTATAGGATTAATGGTTGAACAGAACATACTTAAAGACTTCCAGGTTTAAAGTTCATGATGTGGAACTGGTCTAAAGGTGGTGGTGTACCTAAATTTTATTTTATTTTTATTTTATTTTATTTTATTTTATTTTGAAACCTCTTGAGGTAAAGGGAAGTCATGCAACAGTCTGTTCAAGATGCAAGGCACATGGCAGGGAGGTCCCTAGGAGAGAGTAGCTTCTGCCAACTCTCTTTAAGGAAGCTCAGATAAAATGTTTCAATGGCTGTTTCAGTGAATTGAGAATTCATCAGGTAGCCCAAAGATAGTTGGGTCACAGTCCACAACATACATAGACTGAGGTGAGAGGGGACCAACTTTCAGAAGGAAGAGAGGGAGAGATCTGTAAGAAAGGGAGAAGAAAAAGAAATAGAAACTTACCATACATATAGCCTTAGTAAATTCTGAGTAGTATCCATTGCAGAGGTAGCAGAGCTGTTAATGTGCATTGATATGATTGTTTCATAATGTACAGCAACCATATATTGATGCATGTTTGGTACCTTGTCATTTACTTTTTATATTATAAGACTTTAACTAAACTCTTTCTGACAGAAAAAGCTGGGGCTTTATGATAAAAAGAAAAGCTAGATGTACAAAATTACTGTATTCTGGAAATGTGTATTATTTGATTAACTAGCACAAGATGTATGAACATGACTTCAATAAAAATCTAAATAATTTTATTTAAGAAAGGAGAAAAATATGTGAGACAGGCAGATGTAAAACTCTTACTCAAACACAGTGAAAAGTGGTGGCATTTTGGGCCTGAGTAAGGAAGGCCAGCTGTATTTCTTTCTTTCTCTTTGCCAATGCTAATTTTAGCTTACAGAAACTGAGTATGGGGCCATGAGTCAGCACACTATTCTAGATTTCCCTCTTTGATGCCATCTGTAAAAGGGGAGCTTACAGTTCTGGATTTACTGTTGAAAAGAGCTGTTTAAGTCTTGAGTGATCTTCTTCTTCTCTTTAGTCATCATCTTATTTCGCTCCCTTTGGAATATGTTAAAGCTGATTGGCTTCATGTAACTCATGAAATTTAGTCTAACGTTTATGCAGATCATAAAAGGAGGATTTGCAACAGTCAAGTCCTGACATCCTTATTTATCCCTTGATTATATCATAAGAGCCAGAATTCATCCCTACATTGAACCTGAGAGTGATCCAAAGCTAAAGACAAGGTGATGTGGGAGGAAACAAGTAAATTCAAAGTCAAGGACTTTCTCAAGGTTTCAGCATTGGATGCAAAGTAAAGGTCTGAGTTAAGGAAAGTAATAGCGAGACAATGGGAAAAAGAGGACTTTTTACTCTGTAGAAGGACTACAGTCTTTGAAGCATTCGGTTTTAGAGGAAGTTATGATCTCGCTGGGGCGGATATGGTTGAGACAGGCAAAGATAGATGGGAGACAAAAGGGTTAGAGAGTGAATGGAGAAAGCTGAAGGATGAAGTGATGATCATGATTTAATCTAGCAGTGAAATTATCTAGTCTCTTCACAAAGCAAAGACTATCTGGAGTCATAACAAACACATGACAGATGTTAGTCACACATCTGTCATGTGTATCAGAACAAACACATGACAGATGTTAGTCACATTGGTTAATGCACTTCAGGAAGTCACTTGGATACTACAGTGATGACCATTGTATAACAACCTATGTAGACTAGATTATGAAGAGAATGAAACACTGAACATTTTGAGATGTTGGTAGTGGATGGAAAGATGTGAAATCTCTACATGTGTGGTTTGTTTGTGTGTGTTTTAATGGCTAAAGAGGTAGGATTCAAACAAGAAGAGAAGAATACCAGGGAGCTGAGTGCTTGCATAAGGTATCAGAAAGGGTACAGTGTTGCATAGTAGAATCTGTAAAGTAGCACAGAGGTTGGCAGCTTCAGTGTAAACATTTATAATCATTCCTGTGAAAAATCTGTGCGTATATATTTATACAGTGGCAGTTTTCTTCGAACATTTTGTGGGAGTTGGATTTAAGTAAGGGCTTGTCTATATGAACGTTTAGTTCGCAGCAAGTTGGGCTGTGACTCTACCCTGCACGAGCCTGCCGTGTGCTGTCAATGTGCGCTCTGCTGACGCACATTAACAGTTCGTTAATGTGAATTGATCTCGTCCTTTTTGAAATGGGACTAATCAAAGTGCAATAACGAACTGCTAATGCATGTCAGCAGGATCCACACTGAGGGTGTGCTGCAGACTAGTGCAGAGTAGATTCACACCCCAGCTTGCTGCAAACTAAGGGCTTGTCTACACATAGAACGTTTTAGTGAAGAAGCTATTCTGCTGTCGGGAGAGCTTCTCCTTTTGACATAGTTCATCCATCTCCGCAAAAGGCGGTAGGTATGTCAACAGGAGAAGCCTTCCTGTCAAAGTAGCGCTGTCTACGCGGGGGGTTAGGTCCGTATAACTGCTTCGCTCAGGGGTGTGGATTTTTCACACCTCTGAGTGACGTAGTTATACCAATGTGTATAGTGTATACCTGGTCTTAAACATTCAAGCCCTAAGTAGTGGAATAGGTGTCATATCCCAGTTTCTATTGTATGATTACAGGGCTTTCACCAAAAGAGGGAACTCATCATATGGTTTCATTGTGCGCTACAAAACTGGGAGAAATGGGGACATTTAAAAAAAAAAAGCTTAACCTGTTTATTTTTGTATTGCTGTGATTAAGGTAGGTGAAGTGAAAACAAATAGAAAACGAAAATGTGCATAGACAGTTACCATCCTTTTAAGGTTTAGGAGAAATTCTGGAATAGGTAGGGCCTGATTCTGATCTAAGTTCATGAAGAATTGGCCCTTAGTGTTGAAGTCTTGTTTTTGTCCTTTTCACAGAAAGTGTTGTTTCTCTGATGTTTAGGTGAGCTTGTTGAGAGCTGCTGAAAAAATGGGGTTCCAGTGGCTAAAGATACAGAACAAAGACCCCCGTTTGGAAGGGATGGATGACCTCTCTGGGATTGAAATTCCCTTCCACTATATCTTCAAACTGGCAGCTCATGCCATCCACCTGGTGGTCTTTTATGAGAGGAGTGGTAACTATGTCTGGCATGGCCCATTGCGGCTGAAACAAAACATAGACAGAAAGTTTGTGCCTTTTCGAAAGCTACACTTTGGTCACTACCCTGGAGCTTACAACAAGTAAGTTATAAATGGAGGACAACAAGGAGGATTTAAGTCTATTATAGCACGTTAAATACTACCACTTTGTCTTAAAATCAGTAATTCACGGGTCTATAGAGCAAGTTATGAAATTCATCTCGTGTTCACTAAAATGCAGGTGAATCAAAAGTTTAAGGTGACAGATCCAGTGATATTAATAGTAAAACAAGTATTTTCCCCAATTTACAGATGGAGAAATTGAGACACAGAGAGGTTAAGTGGCTTAACCTGGGCGTGAGAGATCCAGTAATGGGCCAACCCAGCATTGATTTGTGGTAGGATATTTTGATTTCCAAAGAGGTATAGTAGCACATCTTGCCAGCAGATAATTGAATGACTCTGCTTGTCAGCTTATGTCTGAAATATTTTGAAGTAAATATATGTCAGGCAAGATAGGGATTGTCATATTAGCAATATCTGATATTAAAGAAGTGTAACCGCAATATCTGATATTAGTAACCTCTTTCCGTACGTTTTGTATTATGCTACAGAGCCAAAACTTGGTCAGAAAACTTCATATGTGACACTCTCAGCATTGAGAAAAGGGGAGACTACATTTGCAACAAAGGACTGTGTAACAGTACCTAGTGCAGGGGCAAGCAAACTTTTTGGCCTGAGGGCCACATTGGGTTTCCAAATTCTATGGAGGGCCGGTTAGAGGAGGCTGGGCCTCTCTAAACAGCCAGGCGTGGCCTGGCCCCCCCCCCCCCCCGAGACTCCTGCCCCATCCAACCCCCTGTTCCCTGACTGCCCCCTGGGACCCCTACCCCATTCACCCTTCCCTGTCCCCTGACCGCCCCTGAACCCCCACCCCTCCAACCCCTCCTCTCATTCCTGACTGCCCCTCCCCCCCGGGACCCCTACCCCATCCAACCACCCCTTCTCCCTGTCCCCTCACTGCCCCTGGAACTCCTGCTCCTGACTGCCCCCCGCCGCCCCATCCAACCCCCACTCTCCTTCCTGACCTGATGCTTCCAGGACCCATGCCCACATTCAACCCCCCTGTTCCCCGCCATCTGACCACCCTGACCCGTATCCACACCCCCAGCCCCTGACCACCACTCCAAACTTTCCAACCCCTCCGGCCCCTTACTGCGTTGCCTGGAGCACTGGTGGCTGACGGCGCTGCGGCCGCGCCGTCCAGAGCACCAGCACAGGCAGCCACACCGCCCAGCCACGCCACCACGCAGAGTCAGCCACGCCACCACGCAGCACAGAGCATCAGGTCAGGCCGTGGCTCTGCAGCTGTGCTGCCCAGCAAGAGCTTGCAGCCCCACCGCCCAGAGCATTGCACCAGCGGTGCAGTGAGCTGAGGCTGCGGGGTAGGGGGGACAGCAGGGGCTCAGGGGCCGGGCAGGAGGGTCCTGTGGGCTGGACGTGGCTCACGGACCGTAGTTTGCCCACCTCTGACCCAGTGACTAAAGTGGAAGGATATTGAAGAGAGACCTCTTTTATGCCAGCATAGCTGGGTCAGAAATGCATTTGAACCCATTGCATCAAACCCCTCCCCCATATTGGTGCATGTAAATAAGGGAACCCATATTTATACACAGCTGTGGGGTTTTGCTGGTGCAGTAGATTTAGGTCCACTTATTTAGTTGCTTATATATGGACTATTGAAAACCAGTGGTTTTGCAGGCCCGCTTACCTCAGAAATGACCAACTGGAATTTTACCAAAAGCCTCCCACCAAAAATAAAATTTTGAACGAGCACAAGCAGTTTCAGCCAGAATAGGAATAGTAACGTATTATCTGCTTCTGCACCATTGAAAGCAATGGGAGTGTTGCTATTTACTTAAATGGAACCGTGATCAAGCCTATAGTGCTTTTATATTCAATGCACTTCACAAATATTAATCTTCACAACACCCCATCAGGTAGGAAGTACTTGTATTCTCACTGTACAGATTGGGAAGCTGAAGGAGCCAGGTTAAGTGAATTGCCTTGGTAGATGTGCAAGGTCTGTGTCAGATCTGGGATGAATTGTTTGTCCCCAGTCTTGTGCTTAAACTGTGCTTCTCTTCCATTTTTAAAGTTACTGTAAGTGACTGAAATAGGAACTTGACATGAAAGTGCCTCTGCTAAAATTGGTCAAAAACAGGTGGCCTGGCTCTGAACTTCCCCAGATTTCCAGGGTGATCAGATCTGGAGTTTGAGGGTGGGTTTTGAGAGAGAATTGACTTCACATTTGCTGTACTGTGACTTTATTTATTTTTTTCATTATAGGGGCCTGATTCTTTCATTCACTTCAGTAAACATGGTAAAATAGTAGTGTCAGAAATAATTAGAATAAGGTTATAATAAGGGAAGGTTAAAAAAAGGAGGGTGGGAGTCCACAGAGAGTAACATCCGTGGGACAGGCCTTTGGGAAACTGATAAAGAGCTCAGTAATGGTTGACTGGAACTCTTGTAACTTGACTCTTTGCGTCTCAATTTCTCTTTCTATCTTTCCTTCTATTTTTGCCTTCCCTGAGCAATGTGTACTTTTGTATTGTAAGCCCAGCCTTCTAAGCCACAACTAGGCTGCTTTCACTTATGCAGTGTTTCAGTAGCATATGAAAAATGGCAAATCTACGCACTTGCTGCAGTCTTGGGGAAGCAAGATGCATACAGCCTGACTGTGAGAATAATATTCCTGCAGTCTACTTGAAATTGTCACAACAACCAGAACAGAACAAACACTTGTAGTTTAAAAAAAAAAAAAAAGGAAAACACATTGATTTATTTTTGCTAAGAATTACTGAGTTACTAAACGTCCCCTCTATACCTTGGACTCTTGTATTTATTATATGCATAAACATTTAAAATCCAGGACATTAACTATCAAATGTCATTCAACATTTCAGTTGTCATGAAGGCCTAAACTATTGTTAAATTATTAATATGAGCCAAGACTTTCAAAATAGGGGGTAATATTAGACTCCTAAATCCATATTTAGGCAACTGAATAAATGGCCTCGTTTTTCAAATGCTCTGAACAAACAGCAGCTCCCAGTTAACTCAGTGTGAGCTGCTGCAGTGTGAGCTGCACATTTGAAAAATAAGGTGATTTATTCAGTTGTCTAAATATGGATTTAGGAGTCTAATATTAGCTCCTATTTTGAAAATCTTTGCCTAGGAGAGTAGCTTGTAGATTTTGTTGCACCCAAGAGGTTCTGGTTTCGTGTAATCAGATGTAATACATTTGGATATAGGTAGCAACCGCTCAAGTGCTCAACATGTTTTAGATCTTTATAACCTGGGCCAGAGATAGGAGGTGGCGTTTGATTAGTCACAGATGATGCATTCTTGGCCAGGATAATATAATGTCTTTCTTTCACTGCAGGCCAGAAGTACTACAACTTTCCATTGATGACTTAAAAGTTCAGATTCCAAAAAATCTGTCCCAATTTCTAGAGGAGATGTCACACTCTAGGTTTCTTGAATGTAGGTACAGAGAAGCTCGGGCTTTCTTTCAGGTGAGTGGTAATCAGGAAATGTAAAGTAGATTTCCACTCATACACCACCATCCTGCAAAAACGTAGGTATGTGTTTGACTTGAATGGGTCTACTCATAGGCTTAAAATTAAACTCTTGCCTAAATGCAGCATGGTGGCCTTCGTTCTCACAAAGTAAAGAAACTAATTTTTTTTAAAAATTGAGCGTATAACTAGAACTTTTTTCTATGAATAACTAAAGTTGTTTCATCTGTTTGGTTCTATTCTGGGTGCATTTGTCTCTGCATTTGAAATCATATGGAGAATAGATAAATGATAATATATAAATTTGCACACACTTTAAGACCCCTCTACTCTGTCAGAGTTGTATAAAGTATCCGTAGTGTAAATGAGAGTCCCAATTTTCTGGTAATTTTTTGATTTTGGTCACAGTAGGATTGACCATGCATTACAGCACATTTGTGGTATTATACTTAAATTTGAAAGTATATTCATTCAAAATCCCCTTTTTCAGGGGCTTGTAACTTTTGAAGTGATTGATTGGGCTGAATCTTTTTAAAGCTTGTTCAGAGCAAAGAAAAAAAAAATTTTGTTTTGGAGAGTTGGTACCAGAGTTATCCAAGAATGGGATAGAGACTTTTTGTTGTTAAGATGCTTTTTTGTGCTCTGATAACTTGAAAATGCACTGCTGCTCTTAAATGACTGTGCCTCAACTGAAATTAGTGTAAACTTGTAACTTCACTACACAATTTTAACACTTGGTGGCACCAAACAAGTTGTAAAAAATGTGCTAAAAATAACCACAGTGAGCCCAATTCTGTCCCCAGTTGGTATCCATAAGAGTTTTGTAATTGACTTTAGTGAGAGCAGGATCAGGCTCAATGTGCGTTATTGTTGAAAAGTTGTAAGCATTGCAGAGGTTTAATCACAGCATTTACATATTTTGTTTCTTTAATATATACATTCATCTTTTTGGTTTTGGTGTGGATCATTCCAGTAGTATGTTAATACTGACTTTTACATTTTATCAGTTTGGAAAAGATAACAAAGAGGATGGTTTATCACAGGGGTTCTCAACCTTTTTCTATCTGAGGCCCCCCTCGACATGCTATAAAAACTCCATGGCCCCTTGGGGGTGGAGGGGCTTCGGGGAGGGGCCTTGGGTATAGGCGTATTTTTACTTCTGTTTGGGGGGGGGGAGGGGCCAGCAGTGCTCGAAACACCTCTGCATGGTGGGGTCCAGGGAGGAAGTGCCACCTCCACCCCTTGACTCACCTCAGTAGGCCACCCAGCCTGTCTGGGTTGGGGGGCAGGTGCAACCCAAAATTATAACTCAAAGTTGGGGGGCTTAGCTCAAAAAGTTTGAAAACAGCTTAGCGTCCAGGGACGGGGTAGCTAGGGGCTGTGTGCACACAGGGTGGCTGTGGGTACAGGGAGGGGGCGGCTAGGGGCTGTGTGCAGACAGGAAGTAGCTTAGATGCAGGGATGGGGATAGCTGAGTCTGTGTGCAGGCAGGAGATAGCTCAGGATGCAGGGAGAGGGGTACTAGGGGCTGTGTGCTGGGAGGACTCCCCTGCAGTCCCTGTTCCACAAGGGGTCAGCCAGCCACAGAGCTGGGTCTCTCCACCTTGGGGGGACTCTTACCGGTTGCCTCTGCTGGAGCAAATCGCTGAGGAGCAGCTTCAACTTGGGGCACCAGCAGGAGAGGAAGGAACGCTGCTGCTGCCTACTACATGGCGCTTGCCAGAGCAGCAGCTGCTCCGCACTGCCCAGCTCCAGCTTCCACCTGCAACGTGGCCAAGGGGCAGGGAGAGGAGATGTGGGGGGGGAGGTGCAGAGCTGCCCCTGGGACTGTCATAATCTAGTGCTGCAGTTTGGGGTGTGTGGAGGGTGGGGGAACGCCCTCCATGTCCCCAACTCTGCTTCTGCCTCACAGGGAGCATCAGGGCTCTAGGCTTCAGTCCGTCTTCAGCCCCATGCGGCGCGCCAGGAATCAGGGCTTTAGTTGCGTGGCCCCATAGCCCCCTTGAAAGGGCTCACGGACCCCCAGGGGGCCACGAACCCCCGACTGAGAACCGCTGGTTTCTTGTATAGGCATTTAAATTTTACTTTTCTCATTTCACCATTTGTATTGCCAAACAGCCACAAGATGGCGATATGGACAGTGTCCAGCAACTAATCAAAGTCTTGAAAAAAATTGCCTTTTTTTTTTTTAAACCAAAAACATTTTCAAAATTAAGGTGCATTTATGTCTGAAAGTAGTTTAATATTCCTTATCCCTTTAGCTGTACCCTGATGATGCCTCTCTTGATGCAGTGGAGTTTAGGAGAAAAGCAAAAGCATTGCTGCATCTGGCTGCCCTGACATTAAATAACTTAGGGGTGAGGTTCTGGCTGAGCAGTGGAACGTGCCTTGGTAAAGTATTTGAGCTTATATCGTATTGCTTTTCAAACTCATTGAAGCCCCTTTCGAAATCTGAAACATTTAATCCTGTTTAGTTCCAGTGCTGGTGGCTGAGATTGACAGCTGAATGCTTCAGGTTAGTAGGTGGTATCTGATAGGTGTGTGAAGCAGGAGTCCAGTACATTAGCACAGATAAAATAACTTCACTACTAAGTCAAAATGAGGAATTCACAAATTACAATAAAATAAAGCAGTATTTGTTTTATTTCCAAGATTCCTTTCAGAAGACACTTAGAGCCCAGCCATTTGAGATGCTGGGCATGCTTCATATGAAATGTTGAGCGTTTCCATTTAAGTCAATAGTACGTCAGTACATTGATCACCTCTCAGGAAACTCTTAGCAGTTTGCAGGACCAGGTCACTAATAATAATTTGTAAAGGTACTTGAAAGAAAATGCAGAGGAATCTTACTTCTCAGTTATCTTTTATTTTGGGTGCAGATTTTCCTCCATCCCAGACAAACTTGGTATTTAATGTGATAAATTATTTATAAAACTTCAGTAGAGGGGGGACCATATGGTAACCTATTGACTGTATCAAGGTTGAAAGCAATATCTCAAATTCATTATTGGTGAAAGAGAATGTTAAATTCCAAAGTAGATTATAGCCATAGATTTAATAATTCTTGTTAGCATTTCATTAAATGTTAGGGTTTATTTTTGCCTTTAAATGGAGTATTATTTTAGTGATGTGCAGTTCCCTATGATGTGGCTTAAACAAAAAGGGGGAGGGGGGAAGCATGTCTGGGTTTCTAGTCTCACCATTTCCCAACAGCAGTGGGTAGACAGTTTACATCCCAGAAATACCTAGTATTTGAAATGAAGTAATCCATTTTTAAAAATAGAATTGTGACTCCATAAATATTACATAAAGGGCTTAGATCAGGAATCGTTTTCTTTTAAAAATGTAAGTTAGAAAACATACCTTTAGGAGAGATTGAGGGATTGTTATTTAAGTGGTGATAGGGCCCCTTCACAATCCTAACTTTTCCAGGGGAGACAGCTGGGCCACAAGTGGAGTAGCTCCCTATGCTCCTCCTCTTCCAATCTAGGTGTCTCTGTAGGGGGCAGCTGAGTGGCTTCCCTCAAAGATATCTCAGCTAGTGGCACATGAAACTTCATTCTTACTTTGTTTCAGCTCTAGCTGTGTATTCACCATGTCTCTGATTTCATTTTTTCTCCATTTTAGGCTGGTATAGACAGTGCAGTATTATTCCTTATAGCAAAGATGTGGATTTGGGGGTCTTCATACAAGACTATAGATCTGATATTATTCCAGCATTTCAGAAGGCAGGACTATCACTGAAGCACAAGTTTGGCAAGGTTAGTAGGTAACAAATCTGAACTGTGAACTTAACCTTCATTATAACATTTTCTCAAGGTTCTGGTTGTCTGAAGGTGTTTAAAAACAGTTTTCATAAGAGAGGATCTCGTAAGCCTTGATCCTGCAAATGTTTGTGCACATTTAATTTACCCATGTGTAAACTTATTGACTTCATGCACTTTCTGGGCTAGGGAAACACCTTTCATAATGGAATCCTGATCCTGCCTCTGAATTCTATTCTGTATATACTGTTATATTAAAGGGGTTTCTAATTGTGTTTTAGTGTCACTAGAGAACCTTAAATAAGAAGGTGAATTGTGTTCTGTTGCTATTGATTTGGCCTGCTTATAGGGGTGTCATTCTGCATAGACTAGTGCTTACAGCTGGCAGGGGCTGGAAGGGCTGCAAGAGAAGTACCTCAGGATGCCCATCAGAAACCCCCAGATGGTTCAAGAAACAGCATTGTTAGACTCCAAAGAGTCAATGGCTACAGTGCAGGGTCACAAGGGTGGAGTGAAGAGACAAAATCACAGGTCTTGGACAGAGATGCGGAAGACCTTCGAGTTTAAAAAAAAATTGTTAATTAAATATAATTATAAGTGTTTTATCAGGGGCTGTATACAACCCCTATGCCAGCGTCTGATCTCACAAACAATCTTAGTTTAGCTTGGATCCAGGAGATTCATCATTAACTGGTGCTAATGGACTTACGAAACTAAAAGGAAGGAATGTTAAAAAGTAATTCATTGAGGTTATTCTGCTCTTTTATGTGAGAATCCATCTCCTTCTCAAATTGAAGACAGTTTTGCATTTTTAGTTCTAATAAAATACTCCTGCTGTGAGATCTGGCTAAAGAAATGTGGTTACACTTGCATTGTTGCAAATCTGTATACAGGATAGAGCTATGGAAACTGGTCTTCTGTGGTCTTAGAGAGGGCTTGTTAAAGGGTTTCCTTGGTGACCAGATTCTTTTTATCTTTTTACCCTTCATGTGTTCCCCACTGAGGGGGACACCCGAGATTGTAACAAGGCAATTACTCCCCTGTAACATGTCAGCACAAATAAATCACAGGCAACCTCTTACTGTTTTTTTCCTGATTGTATTATGAGTATATGAGGTGTATTTGACTGTCTCACAGGTAGAAGACAGCTTGGAACTATCCTTTCAGGGAGAAGATGGTGTGAAACTTGATATTTTTTTCTTCTATGAAGATGATGACCACATATGGAATGGAGGAACTCAAGCCAAATCGGGCAAGAAATTTAAGTATGAATTCATTTCAAACCTATAGAAGGGAAAACTAGTTGAACAAGTTGTTACCGCATTAGATGCTGTTATTAAATACTATGTGTTATGTAATAGCAATGTTTTAGAAATAATAGTTGACATTTAGCTTTATCCTCCAAGCAAGAAGGTGCTTCAGGAAGAGAAGAATTTGTAGAGATTTTGCACAGTGAGGGCTGGAGAAATGGGAAGAGAGAAGTGAGCTGTAGCTCACAAAAGCTTATGCTCAAATAAATTGGTTAGTCTCTAAGGTGCCACAAGTACTCCTTTTCTTTTTGCGAATACAGACTAACACGGCTGCTACTCTGAAAAGTGACGTTTAAGTATCTCGTCAAATTGTTTTTATATTCAGCATTGTCAGCAGGCCCTTTTGAAAATCTGCAGTAGCCTTGGAATCTAATCGTTAAACAGATGTCATCTGGACTAAGACCAGCACTAGTTCAATAAAAATGGAAAAGGGGAATCAAGCCTACCATTTTTTTCTTTCAAGTGCTTGTTTTTATTTATTTTGTAGCACTGAGGGTTCAGTCATCTATCTGTGTGATTAGAGATTATGGCACGGGGGCTCACATGTCCCTTGCAAAATAACCCAACTCATTGAGATTCTTCTGTAATGGTCCACAACAGTACATTTCACAATAGCATTTCTGCAGTGATATGAGCCCTTACTATCAAATGCCTTTGATGTTTTTTAAAGTATGTTCCTGTTATGAAAGTGGCTTAGGAAACATGGAACCCCATTTACAGCATCTTGCTCTTTTCTGTATCAAATATGCAGGTAAATGTAGATTTAAGCATGCAGGTTAAGTTCATGGAGGATAGGTCCATCAATAGCGGTTAGCGAGGAGGGTCAGGGAGGCAACCCATTGCTCTGGGTATCCCTAAACCTCTGACTGCCAGAAGCCAGGACTGAATGACATGGGATGGATGACTCAATAATTGCCATGTTCTGTTCATTCCCTCTGAAGCATATGGTGGTGACCACTGTCGGGAACAGGATACTGGGCTAGATGGATCATTGGGTCTGAGCCAGTATGGTCATTCTTATATAAACAGTCAGCCGCGCAAACTCAGCCTGGGTTCTGAGAGTTAGACTGGGTTCTTTCCATCTGATACCTCATCTCCAGTGATAAAGGTTGTGTGGGCCAAAAGTTGTGCTGTACCTATGTTGTGACATCCAGTTCCTTGTCAAAAGAGCTGATATTCTCTTCCAAAATTATATATGTGCACCAGTCATTAGGAGCATGAAAGCAGTGTTTTTTCTCCCTGCACAAGGCAGAATGCCTCCCATGTGTGAGAATGGATGTTGGCTTTGAATTCATGCTCCAGTGTTGTGCCCAAGGTGCTGCACTCTTGGATATGGTACAGATGTTCCAGCTTTCACAGATGAAGACAAAAATATGATTGTTCTAATACTTTTTTTGCTTTTTAAGCAGAATTGGAGAGAGGCTGGTGTGGAAGTTTGGTCTGTGATAGGTGTGGTTAGAAAGAAGTCAATATAATGAAAACGTTAAATCCTAAAGAGGTGCTTTCTAGGTGTAGTAAACTATATCTAATATATACCAAAAAGAGGCATGGAAATTAGTCCTCTTGATCAGTAACAGAATGTACCTGTTTAGAATGTCTTAACCTAGCTTCCATTGTATTAAATACCTTCTCAAAAGGAGAGATACAAGGGGAGATTTTTTTTATTTTTATTTTAGTTTATTTATTTATTTATTTGCCGTTAAACCTTATTATTAACTACTCTTGACTTTAAAGGCTGTGATACCCACCACCATTAGGTGCTTTCACTTTGTTCTTTCAAAATGATTGTGAAACGTGGGAGGAAATGGGGTTGGTCAACCAAGACAGAAGTTATTCTGTTTAAGTCATGCTAGAATCTAATTCTTCAGCTTGGAGTGAATTTCTAAGAGTTGTTATCACCTTAAAAACAGAGCTGTACAAGGCTGCGGATGGGAGAGTTTCTAAACATCAAAGTGAGAACTAATAGAGTTTAGAAGCTATAGAGTTACTGCTGCAGAAATTAGAAGCTCTATCATAAGTACATACAGAGCTCGCATTTAACTTTTTATTTTGTTGCATCTCTAAGTGACCTTGACTAGGTCTGAGCCACTGGAACTCTATGGTCATACATTAAATGATCTCTGAATTGACTGTTCTTCAAGAATAAGTGGTGGTGATACAGTCAAACCTCAGAGTTATGGACACCTTGGGAATGGAGGTTGTGTGTAACTCTGAAATGTTCGTAACTCTGAACAAAGCGCAGTTTGGGCTCCAAATCCAACAGCTGACACTCCAAGCAGCAACTGAGCTCCCTTCTCAGCCCCGGCATGAGTTTGCAAGCTTGGCCCCTTCAGCCAGGGGCGTGTGTGTGTGTGAGAGAGAAAATAGCATGTCCCCCCTCCCAGCTGGGGGTGGGGGTAAAAACAGCTCATCTCGCTCCTGGCAGGGAGGGGAAAAAGCTGTGTGGACCCCAGCGCTGCTCCTGCTCTGCTGGCTCCAGCTGCCTTGGTCTGGCAGCCCTAGCATCTTGCTGTAAGTGGCTGCCCTGCTGGTGGGGATGGGGTGGGGACAGGCAGCCCAGATGTGCCTACCTTTAAGATGCAATACAGGCACAGTACAGTACTTTTTTTTTTTTTCCCCCCCCTTTCTCTCTGCTGCTGCCTGATTGGTTACTTCCGGTTTCACATGGTGTCCAGTCCAGAACTCTGGTGTTCATATCTTTGAGGTTCTACTGTACCAGAATTTCTATGGTTGGGAGTGAATGCTGCAGAATTTAGAAGCTCTGAAGTTACTGTGGTATAGCAACAACTTAATATTTCACGGTAGAAACAATAAGATATATTAGATTTAAATCAACCAACTGAACAAACAAATCACATTGGGAAATTAACAAAAAACTTAGCATTAGGGTAAATAATATTAGTATAGGAACACTATGAATTTCCTCATTTTCAAACATTAATTTAGTAAAATTTTATTGGAACAATTGTAGTTGTATAATTATTTACAACTATAAGTATTTTAACAACGTTTTTGCCTCTGAATTATAAGGACAGTGCAGCTGGTTGAGCAGCAGTGACTTTTATACTGGCATTTGAGAGACTCTTAATTTGACAGGTTTCAGAGTAGCAGCCGTGTTAGTCGGTATTCGCAAAAAGAAAAGGAGGACTTGTGGCACCTTAGAGACTAACCAATTTATTTGAGCATGAGCTTTCGTGAGCTACAGCTCACTTCATCGGATGCATGCAGTGGAAAATACAGTGGGGAGATTTATATACACAGAGAACATGAAACAATGGGTGTCACCGTACACACTGTAACCAGAGTGATCACTTAAGGATCACTTAATTTGACAGTCAGCATAGGAGTGTTGTGCCTTAACTAGTGTGTACTAAGGCTTGTTGCAGACTTCTTTTAGGGATCTGGTATGATCAGATAGTGTCATTTTTACCACACAGAGTAAATGCCCAGTGTAGAATGCTCACCAGTTATTTACATCATACTAGAATTGATCTTGATGCTTTACAGTCATGAATAAAAGCAGGGTCCCTACTCCAAGAAATGCATAATTTGAATAGCCAAAATATAGATTAAGGATATGGGAAAGGAAAGCAAAGTATCTGAGCAGTTATATTTGGCACATGTTGTTTTAATTTTTTAGAATTGTAGCTATTTTTCATGTAGTCATATTTTGTTCTTGGGGAGCTGGTTTCCTAACTTCCACAAGAGATGCCTTGAATAGACAGTTTTGTGAGTATGGCCCCAATCGTGCAAACACATATATTGTGATTAACTTTATGCACATGATACTCCTGGAGGAAATTCTGCACCAAAAAATTAAACATTCTGCGCACACTATTTTAAAATTCTGAAAGATTCTGCATATTTTATTTGTCAAAATAACACAATATAATCACACCAGTTTCCATTATTTTGGTAAATTATTTCAAAATACCTATCAGCAAGTATGTCTGTAACAATATAGAAAACAAAAAGATCAGAAAATGTTTTTTTGACAAATAGATTCCTTACTAGGCATATTAATACAGAACTCTTGAGTAATAATTCATTGAAACTACAGAACCATATTTCCTGCACCCCTCAGAAGCAGTGCAAAGGCTTAGAGGAGTCGGTGTGGGAGAGGGAAGTAATTGCTGGGAAGGAGCCTGGGTATGAACTTGAAGGGTTGTTGGGTGTGGGTGGGAAAAATATGGAACACGTATTTTTGGGGGGTGGGGAAGGATTGTTAGGGAGCATCCCCTCATGCAGACCCTTGCTGACCCCTAGCCTCTCCCATTCTGTGAGGCACATCTGCGCCTGTCCCCATGTGTCTCTGTGGCCTCCATTCAGCCACCCTCCTGTCCTCATGTTGGCTTACACCGTTCTCCTATCCCAGTGTGTCTCTGAACCCCTCAGCCAGCCCCCTTCCCTCATTTCCATGTGTCTCTGTGCCCCACTCAGCCATAACCGTTCCTCCTTGTAGCTCTGCACCCCCTCCCTCTCTGCCCATGTGGCCCTGCACCTCCCCCCCCCCATGGCCCTGCGCCTCCACTCCCATTCAGCCCCTGGCCCAGTCTGTCCTCCCCCACTAGCCTTTATGGGCCCCTGTCTGATCCCCAGCAGCCCCATGCTGTCTGTCTCCCCATATCCCCTGTCTCCTGGCCTGGCCCAACAGGTGCTCTGAAGAAGGCACTGCAGGCTCTTTCTCTTCCCTATCCTAGCTGGGACTGGCTGGGAGCAGCTGCTGTGTTCTGATGCTACAGCGCCCTCTGGTGGGCAAAAGGTGGAACTGTAGCAACTCTTCAGCAGATGCTTTTTTCTGCAAAAAAATTAAAATAAAATATGCGCGGCACATGTGCTGTTTCTGGGGCTGCTTGACTACTATTTGTCCAGGTCAGCTTGTAGGGTTACAGTCTAACCCGAAGTAACTTAATCATAGAATATCAGGATTGGAAGGGACCTCAGGAGGTCATCTAGTCCAACCCCCTGCTCAAAGCAGGACCGATCCCCAATTTTTGCCCCAGATCCCTAAATGGCCCCCTCAAGGATTGAACTCACAACCCTGGGTTTAGCAGGCCAATGCTCAAACCACTGAGCTATCCCTCCCCTCCTCCCTTGTCCTGGGTTTGCATCACAAGTCAGTGACAAAGTTGGAAGTAGATCCTAGGCTCCGTGGTCTGTATCTTCTCCATTGGATCACCTGGGCATTGCTGGTATGTCTCATTCTACCACAGGTGTGAGAAGAGGGAGGGGCATTCTGCATAGGTCTGGCAACTCGTATTACTTCAGTGCCCCATGGCAGGTTTGGTTTTCTTTGTGATTTTTATTTTTAAGGGCATTGCACCTGCAGAGAAGCAATCAGGGAGAGCATATTGAGCATGTAGCCATAATAAAACTCCAGCTTCAAAGCACTTGACAACCATTAACTAGTTAATTCTCACAACATCTCTGTAAGGTAAATAAGTCAATATTATCCTTATTTCACAGATAGGAAACAGAAGTGGGGAGGTTAAGTGACTTGCCCAAAATCATGCAGCCATTCGTGGGCAGGGAAGGAATTGAAATGAAGATGAAGACTCTGTCTTATGCTCTGGCCACAATACACAATCTGTACTCCTTCATAATTTTAAAAATCAAATGTTGTAGTGGCTTCCAAGGTTTTGTTTACTGAATATCATACCTATATTTGAGTCTTAACTATTGTGTTCTCTTATTGTAACATAGGTACCTGTTTCCTAAGTTTACACTGTGTTGGACTGAGTTTGTAGAACTCAAGGTACATGTGCCTTGTGAAACCCTCCAATATGTCGAAGCCAACTATGGCAAGGACTGGAAGGTACCTGTGAAGATGTGGGACTGGAAAAGCTCTCCATCCAATGTGCAGTCCAATGGGATGTGGCCTGTTGATGAATGGGATGATGTCATTCAAGTCTACTGATCACATGGATGTACAGGATTTGTTTGGTACCACTGGACCTATCCATGCCTAATTTCCCTAACCCCAAGATGTTGAGATCAGTTTTCATCCACTTCCTAAGGAGATCTTGAATCTTTTTTGGCATAATAGGTGGTGTGTGTACTACTCACGACACTTACATCTGGCATTCTCTGTGACAGCTAAAGGAAGAGAATGAAGGAAGTATGTGTGAACTGAGAAGACTATCTGAGAGGAAAGAGGTACAAAAGGAGTGTAAGAAAGATTGAAGTGGGGATATAGGTAGGAAAAATTAAACTTGAACCCAGACCAAATGGCTCAGTATGCTTTGTCTTGTGGGGGGAAGGATGTCATTTGCTTAGAAATTCAGCACTGAAATACTAGAGTGGTGGGCACCATAGAAATACCTTACATAGATAGATAGATACATTGATCTAAAGCATCCCCCAGTGGTTGTGGCAGTCAGTCTGACTTCAGAGGTCACTGGAATGTTGTCCAGTTACTCAGAGCAGGAGTCACTGCTTTGTGAAGGGGCACAGCTAAGATAGGGATACAAAGGCAGCCCTGGATGAAAAGGTAGGGTAAGACACTGAAGAGTCCTATCCACATCAGAGGAGGTGTGGGCTTTCCTAATATGCCCTTGGGAAACCCTGAACTTGGGGCTCAGTTAAAAGTAGAGACATTTTCTATTAACCACTTTATGTAGATATGTCAAGGAATGCTATCCACGCTTTGTTTTTTGAACATGGAGCCATATGCTACAGGGGGACACTTTGTATAAAAGGAGAGTCCAGAATTCTGATCTTTGATGCTCTAAACCATGGGTCTCAAGTAACCTGGGAGTTGTAAACAGATTTTATAGGGTCATAATCACCCTCCCTTTTTTTAGAGTTAGATAGGAGCAGAGTCCTGAAACTTCTTTATTGTTGTTGTAACCTGGGGTCATAATATGGACGAGGTTGAGAATCACTACCCTCATCTTTTAAGTGTAAATCCCAAGCTGTTAATTTGTATACAGCTGCCAACTCCTTCCTCAGATTTACAGTAGTGTAATCTAAAGGCTACTGCTCGTGTGTCACTGGATATAAAAATCTCTCAGCTGTATCTCCTTACATTACTACTTGCATTTTTGGTCAGTACAGTAAACTGTTTTTTGTTTTGGGGAGGGATTGCTGAATAATAGGTTCTGTTTGAACCTGTGCTTGAATCCGTTTAGCGAGATGGATCTAGAGTATTCCCAAAGTGAAGTCAGTGAAGCTAAATGACCCTGATTTGTTCGGCTCCTTCTCAGTGGGCAAGTCGAGCTCTGGGGTTGTTAATAAAATATGAATACCACGTGTACTGGCACTGACCCTGGAGCACTCATGGTGCCAATGTCAAGTAGTTAAGCAATTTGATGCTTTCATATCTGTGGCTGTACTCCAGATAATAAGGCTGTACTCCAGATTTCTTTCCTTGAGCATGACGGTTATCTACAAGTCACGGCTTTTTTGTCAGTTACTGGCTACAGATAGGACAGATCTTAGTTTTGTATTCAGTTGATACAGATACCTGAAAAATTCAGTATTTATGTATCCAAGTTAGTACAGTTTTGAGTAGCTAACACAGCTGCATCTGAGTGACTGTTTTACTGCTGTACCATTCCAGGTGCACTCTGGGGCTTCCCTGGTATTTACAGAGTGCGTGACACACTTTATTCCTGCCAACCCTCCTAATTCCAGAACTCTCCTGCCACTGAATACTGCAGTAAATAACTCAGAATTTGTCCAGTACTTTAAAAAATGGATTTGTCACATCCTTAATTACTACTGGCTTTTTAAACACTACAAAAACATCAATATTTTTTGCCAAATTGGGGAGGGGAAGAGGTTAAATCCTAGTAATGTTTTTACTTGATGAGGTGAAGCACTGAGTCTGTGGAGGGATGAGTTTTCAGGTGGTACTTCTTGCATTCTTTTTTGTTGTTGTTACATATGACCTAAAGCCAATCTCCTTTTGTTGGTTGTATTATTCAGAGCTCTGTGTTATGCAGCACTATGTTATTAAATACGGTACAGTTGCTCTCTGTTTTTACAATGTGATAGAGCTTTGGAATGGAAAGATAAGATAGTGTCAGGATAGAAAATGTGCAATCCTGTCACAAGTTTGTGATTTTATATTTGTAAATGGAAAGGCTAGAAGCAAAAACAAAAATACTCATCCCCTAAGCAGAAGAGAATGTTTAAAATATCTGACTACAATACTGTATATGTGTGTGTGTTTAACTTATTGTCCAGGCTGTTAAAATACTTTTCTTCTGAAGAGAAAAAGATATTCTTTAACACTGACTAAGGCCATGTCTACACTACCACTTGTGTCACTCAGGGTGTGAAAAAACCACCCCCATGAGCAACATAAGTTTCACTGGCCTAAGCGGTAGTGTGAACGTTGCTATGTCGGCGGAGAGCTTTACCTGATGACATTGCTACTGCCACTCATTGAGGTAGTTTTATTATGTCTCTGGGAGAGCTCTCTTCCATCGGCAGAGAGCAGCTAGGCGAGCGCTCTGAGGCCATGTCTACACTATGAAATTAGGTCAAATTTATAGAATTCGGTTTTGTAGAAAGCGTTTTTATACAGTCAATTGTGGGTGTCCCCACACAAATGCTCTAAATGCATTTAGTCGGCGGAGTGCGTCCATAGTACCGAGGCAACCATCGACTTCTGGAACATTGCACTGTGGGTAGCTATCCCACAGTTCCCGCAGTCTCCGCTGCCCATTTGAATTCTGGGTAGAAATCCCCATGCCTGATAGGGCAAAAACATTGTCACAGGTGGTTCTGGGTATATATCATCAGGCGCCCCCCCCCCCCCTCCTTCCCTCCATGAAAGCAACGGCAGACAATCGTTTCGTGCCTTTTTTCCTGGGTTACCTGTGCAGACGCCATACCACGGCAAGCATGGAGCCCGCTCAGCTCACAGTAACCGTATGTCTCCTGGGTGCTGGCAGACGTGGTACTGCATTGCTACACAGCAGCCGCTCATTGCCTTTTGGCAGCAGACAGTGCAGTATGACTGGTAGCCATCGTCGCCGTACTCCAGGGTGCTCTTTTAGCTGACCTGGGTGAGGTCGTTGGGGCGCCTGGGCAAACATGGGAGTGTCTCAGCCAGTTCATTTCCCTTTTAAGTTTTGTCTCATGGGGATTCAGTCCTGCTGGCAGTCCTACTGCACCGTCTTCTAATGAGCAGCCAGGAGACGACGATGGCCAGCAGTCATACTGCACCATCTTCTGCCGAGCACCCAGGACAGGATGATGGCCAGCAGTCGTACTGCACCGTCTGCTGCCGGCAAGATGTATAAAGATAGATGAAGTGGATCAAAAGAAGAAATAGACCAGATTTGTTTTGTATTCATTTTCTCCTTCCTCCCTCCCTCCCTCCGTGAAATTAACGGCTTGCTAAACCCAGGATTTTGAGTTCTATCCTTGCGGGGGCCATTCTGTTTCTCCTTGATGCAAAGCCACCCCTTTTGTTGATTTTAATTCCCTGTAAGCCATGTTGTCAGTCTCCCGTCCCTCCGTCAGAGCAACGGCAGACAGTCATTTCGCTCCCTTTTCCCTGGATTGCCCGAGCAGACACCATAGCACAGCAAGCATGGAGCCCATTCAGCTCACCACAGCAGTTATGACCATTGTAAACACCTCGCGCGTTATCGTGCAATTTATGCAGAACCAGCACCTGAGAAACCAGGCGAGGAGGCGACAGCAGTGTGGTGATGAGGACATGAACGCAGAATTTTCTAAAACTGCGGTCCCTAGCAGTTTGGAGATCATGGTGTTACTGGGGCAGGCTCATGCCATGGAACGCTGATTTTGGGCCCAGGAAACAAGCACAGAGTGGTGAGACTACATAGAGTTGCAGGTTTGGGATGATGCCCAGTGGCTCCGAAACTTTCGCATATGTAAGGGCACTTTTATGGAACTTTGTGACTTGCTTTCCCCTGCCCTGAAGCGCAAGAATACCAAGATGAGAGCAGCCCTCATAGTTCACAAGTGAGTAGCAATAGCCCTGTGGAAGCTTGCAACGCCAGACAGCTACCGGTCAGTCGGTAATCAATTTGGAGTGGGCAAATCTACTGTGGGGGTTGCTGTGATGCAAGTAGTCAACGCAATCATTGAGCTGCGGCTATCAAAGGCAGTGACTCTGGGAAACATGCAGGTCATAGCGGATGGCTTTGCTGCAATGGGATTCCCTAACTGTGGTGGGGCTGTAGACGGAACCCATATCCCTATCTTGGTACCGGACCACCAGGGCAGCCAGTACATAAACCGCAAGGGGTACTTTTCAATGGCGCTGCAAGCACTGGTGGATCACAAGGGATGTTTCACGAACATCGACATGGGATGTCCGGGAAAGGTTCATGACGCTCGCGTTGTCAGGAACTCTGGTCTGTTTAAATGGCTGCAGGAAGGGAATTACTTGCCAGACCAGAGAATAACTGTTGGGGATGTTGAAATGCCTATAGTTATTCTTGGGGACCCAGCATGCCCTGGCTCATGAAGCCATACACAGGCACCCTGGACAGTAGTAAGGAGTTGTTCAACTATAGGCTGAGCAAGTGCAGAATGGTGGTAGTGTGTGCATTTGGACGTTTAAAGGGTCGCTGGCGCAGTTTACTGACTCGCTCAGACCTCAGCGAAACCAATATTCGCATTGTTATTACTGCTTGCTGTGTGCTCCACAATCTCTGTGAGAGTAAGGGGGAGACGATTATGGTAGGGTGGCAGGTTGATGCAAATCGCCTGGCCGCTGAATACGCGCAGCCAGACACTACGGCAGTTAGAAGAGCACAGCAGGAAGTGCTGGACATCAGAGAAGCTTTGAAAACCAGTTTCATGACTGGCCAGGGTACTGTGTGACACTTCTGTTTGTTTCTTCTTGATGAAAACCCACCCCCTTGGTTGCCTCTAAATTCCCTGTAAGCCCCCCGCTCCGCTCCCCTTCGATCATAGCTTGTTTGCAAAGGAAATAAAGTCACTATCGTTCAAAAAACATGTATTCTTTATTAATTGATTATAAAAATAGGGAGATAACTGACAAGGTAGCCCAGGTGGGGTGTGGGAGGAGGGTAGGAGGGAAGGAAAAGGCCACTTCAAAACTTCTTGAATGACAGCCTTCAGTTGCTTGGGCTGTCCACTGGGGTGGAGTGGTTAGGTGCCCAGAGCCTCCCCCCGCGTTCTTGGGCGTCTCGGTGAGACGGCTGTGGAACTTGGGGAGGAGAGAGGGCGGTTAAACAGGGGCTGCAGCAGCAGTCTGTGATCCTGCTGCCGTTTCTGAACCTCCACCAGATGCCGGAGCATGTCCATTTTATCCCGCAGTAGCCCCGGCGTTGCCTCATGCTTCCTCTGATCTTCCTGCCGCCACCTCTCCTCACGTTCATCGGCCACTTTCCTATACTCTGCTATTGTGTCCCTCTACACATTCTGCTGAGCTCTGTCAGTGCTGGACAACTGCATGAGCTCAGAGAACATTTCAGTGTGCGTGCATTTTTTCCACTGCCTTATCTGAGATAGCCTTTGGGACGGAGGAGGGAGGCTTGAAACATTTGCAGCTGCTGGAGGAAAAAAAAGGAGTGAAGTATTTTAAAGTACATTTTACAGAACAATGGCTATACTCTTTCACGGTGAACAACACTATTCACGTTACATAGCACATGTGATTTTGATATAAAGTCGCATTTTGCATCTTATATTGCCTGCGGCTTTCGTGCTAGAGATCACACACGCAGTGCCGGGCAACAGAATTCGGCTTGCAGGCAGCCACGGTAAGCCATAGTCTTTCGGTTTCTGCAACCTTCATAACAGCAGCGCCCTCCTCTCCCATACCAAGCAAAGCACGTTGAGTTGGCCATTTACTGCTGCGGTTTTCCTGTTGAGGTGCAGCAGCAGAAACCAAACTAAACCCCCGCACCCCCCATCCAAATTCTCTGGGATGATCGCTTTACCCTTCTCCCCACTGCGTGGCTGGTATCAGGGAAGATCCCTGCTAGTCAAATGCGAACAGCTCAGCGCCAGTGCCCCCTCCCCCCCAACCGCATGGCTAACTGCGGGGAGGATTTCTTTTCAGGCACAGGCAAACAGCCCAGTAGGAACGGCCACTTCTGAATGTCCCCTTAAGTAAATTCCCCTATTTCAATCAGGTTACCATGAACGATATCACTCTCCTGAGGATAACACAGAGAGATCAAGAACGGATGTTGCTTGAATGCCAGCAAACACCGCAACCATACGCTGCCAGGCTTTTTCATGCAATTATACCAGATTACTTGCTACTAGCATTGTGTGGTAAAGTATCCTACAATGGAGGACAGAATAAGGCTGCTCTCCCCAGAAACCTTTTGCAAAGGCTTTTAGAGTACCTCCAGGAGAGCTTCATGGAGATGTCCCTGGAGGATTTCCGCTCCACCCCCAGACACGTTAACAGACTTTTCCAGTAGCTGTACTGGCCACGAATGCATCCCAAGTCCTCAGGGCTACTTAATCATTAAAAAATGCTTGCTTTTATAACATGTATTATATTTAAAAAGGTACACTCACCAGAGGTCCCTTCTCCGGCTTGGTTGGGTTGGGAGGGTATTTCAGTCAGAGTGATGAAAAGATCCTGGCTGTCGGGGAGAACGGTGTGCTGTGTGCTCTCCTCAAGCTCGTCCTCCTCTTCTTCAACTTCCCCGTCCACAAAATCCTCAGCCGTGGCGGAGAGTACCCCATCATTGGAGTCCACGGACAGGGATGGGGTAGTGGTGGTGGGCCCCCCCTAGAATTGCATGCAGCTCAACGTAGAAGCAGTATATCTGGGGCTCTGTCCCGGAGCATCCGTTTGATTCTTTGGTTTTCTGGTACGCTTGTCTGAGCTCCTTAAGTTTCATGTGGTACTGTGTTGCGTCCCTGCTGTAGCCTTTGTCCCTCATGGCCTCGGAGATTTTTTGAAATGTTTTGGCATTTTGTCTTTTGAAACGTAGTTCTGATAACACGGATTCCTCTCCCCATACAGCGATCAGATCCGGTACCTCCCGTTCGGTCCATGCTGGAGCTCTTTTTCGATTCTGGGACTGCATGGTCCCCTGTGCTGATGAGCTCACCTGGCCAAACAGGAAATGAGATTCAGAAGTTCCCGGGGCTTTCCTGTACACCTGGCCAGTGCATCTGAGTTCAGAGTGCTGTCCAGAGCAGTCACAATGGTGCAGTGTGGGATAGCTCCCGGAGGCCAATACCTTCGAATTGCATCCACACTTACCCTAATTCGAAACGGCGATGTCGATTTCAGCACTAATCCCCTCGTTGGGGAGGAGTATGGAAATCAGTTTTAAGAGCCCTTTTTGTAAAAAAAAAAATGGCTTCGTTGTGTGCAGGGTTAATTCGATGTAACGCTGCTAAATCAGACATAAACTCATAGTGTAGACCAGGCCTTACAGTGGTGCAGCTGCATTGATACAGCTGTGCTGCTGTAACCTCGCTAGTGTAGACATGGCCTGAATGAATGAGTTTAATTTTCTACTCAGTCTGCTAATGTACAATTACGTTTTGTTATCTAGGACAGCATTTTTAACATACGGTTCAGTGTTACTATTTACTGTGGAATAATTTGAAGAGGAATGTTTTTGATCTTTGTTTTTCTAAATTCTTTATTTAATTGTTTACCTTATGCTTTTATTTTTAATAAACTCTGTGAAAGCAATGTTGTTATTTGTACAAAATACCAGAAATTATTTACTGTATCTGAGAAATAGGTGATACTATTATTATTGGATTAGATTCTCCCTTTACTTACACTGGTACAATCCCATTGACTTCACTGTGCTTGCACAGGTGTAAGTGAGGGAAAAATTTGTGCCAGCTTCCCAGCTCCTGCTGCAAACCTTTCTGACATTCACTGATTTATTTACCCACTCTTGCCAAGTAAAATGTGAGTAGCTTTCACTTACCTGCGTTGCTTTCTTTCTGTATTTGCTATGCCCACATAAGATTGCAGAGGGGCAATAGCAAGCGTAACAGATTCCTCACATCTGTCAGAAATTTGGTAGCTTTTTAGCGATATCTACACACTTTGTTCTACCTATGGAACTCTCCTGGTCTGCTTTCTTTACTTGTTAGCCTATTTTTTGCTTCCAGCAATATAAAATCTAAACTTATTACAACAGATGCCACATGGTGAAACAACATAAGGAAAGAGGCAGAAGATTCTTGAAGAACCACGAGCAGAACCAAAAGCAGCAAGCAAATATACTAGGGCAGGTTTGAACCCAGGATGTAGTTGCATCCATTTTGCAGAATATTCCTAGGGGAAATAGGAATAGCTTATTGCAGCTTCCACATCAGAAAATGGTTCCTCTGATGATAGATCAGATGATGTCTTCAACAGACACACAGTAAGATAGAAAAGTAGAAAATTAATGGTACATTATACTCACACTGGAATCATTTCCTGCTGCCTTATCCTGGCTTACCTTATCATGCTGGAGATGAGTTGTAGCTGTGCTCCGATCACCCCACATGGTGTGTTGCTCTTGCTGTCACTTAAGCTTGACAACCAGAGCCAGCGTGATAAAATTAATTCCTTGATACTGGAAGTCACATTTTCTGATGTTAGTGCTCTATGCAAATGCCAAATGCAGATCTTGGACTACTGTGTAATAGTATTGATCATCACTTCTGAGTAAATGGCAGACTTAAAAATCTGCATTTATTCTCTTATGAAGCACTGAATTGTGAGGGTGGCACACACAATCTAATCCCAGATGTATTTTTGATTTTGCAGATTTGTTCTTTTTTGTCCTCCTAACTAAAAATCCCACCTTATTTTTGAAAATGAAAATTTTTGTAGGCTGCAGGGTGTGGTTCTGATCTCACTACAACAGTGTGAGTGCTTAATCCTGCAAGGTGCCAAGTACTCTGGCCCTGATCCAGGAAAACATTTATGCACAGTTTAATTTTAACCATATGAATAGTCCTGTTGAAGACATTGTAACCTGGTGGGATTCTTGGACAAGAAACAGGTGTGCGGGGGGTTTTGTTAACTGTGCAAGGCCATGCATCCTGAGAGCTCACACCAGTCTGTGCTACTTAGAAGTCATTAGTAGGTTACTGATATTGGGTTGAAAATATAGATAAAATGAGATATAGAAATAATGTGCAGAAGTTGATAAATACAAGGAAAATCACTATTTATCTTTTAAAATATTTAAGTAAATTTAACTGTTGCACCTGTTAGGGTATGTCTACACTACGGAATAAGGTCGAATTTATAGAAGTCGGTTTTTTAGAAATTGGTTTTATATATTCGAGTGTGTGTGTCCCCACAGAAAATGCTCTAAGTGCATTAACTCGGCAGAGTGCTTCCACAGTACCAAGGCTAGAGTCGACTTCTGGAGCGTTGCACTGTGGGTAGCTATCCCACAGTTCCCGCAGTCTCCGCTGCCCATTGGAATTCTGGGTTGAGATCCCAATGCCTGATGGGGCTAAAACATTGTCGCGGGTGGTTCTGGGTACATATCGTCAGGCCCCCGTTCCCTCCCTCCCTCCGTGAAAGCAAGGGCAGACAATCGTTTCGCACCTTTTTTCCTGAGTTACCTGTGCAGACGCCATACCACGGCAAGCATGGAGCCCGCTCAGGTAACCGTCACCCTATGTCTCCTGGGTGCTGGCAGACGCGGTACGGCTTTGCTGCACAGTAGCAGCAACCCATTGCCTTCTGGCAGCAGACGGTGCAATACGACTGGTAGTTGTCCTCGTCGTGTCCGAGGTGCTCCTGGCCACGTCGGCTGGGAGCGCCTGGGCAGACATGGGCACAGGGACTAAATTTGGAGTGACTTGACCAGGTCATTCTCTTTAGTCCTGCAGTCAGTCCTATTGAACCGTCTTATGGTGAGCGGGCAGGCGATACGGACTGCTAGCAGTCGTACTGTACCATCTTCTGCCAGGCAGGCAAGAGATGAGGATGGCTAGTGTTTGTACCATCTTCTCCAGCAGGCAAGAGATGAGGATGGCTAGCAGTCGTACTGTACCATCTTCTGCCGAGCAGCCATGAGATGTGGATGGCATGCAGTCCTTCTGCACCGTCTGCTGCCAGCCAAAGATGTAAAAGATAGATGGAGTGGGTCAAAACAAGAAATAGACCAGATTTGTTTTGTACTCATTTGCCTCCTCCCCTGTCTAGGGGACTCATTCCTCTAGGTCACACTGCAGTCACTCACAGAGAAGGTGCAGCGAGGTAAATCTAGCCATGTATCAATCAGAGGCCAGGCTAACCTCCTTGTTCCAATAAGAACGATAACTTAAGTGCACCATTTCTTATTGGAACCCTCCGTGAAGTCCTGCCTGAAATACTCCTTGATGTAAAGCCACCCCCTTTGTTGATTTTAGCTCCCTGAAGCCAACCCTGTAAGCCGTGTCGTCAGTCGCCCCTCCCTCCGTCAGAGCAACGGCAGATAATCGTTCCGCGCCTTTTTTCTGTGCGGACGCCATACCAAGGCAAGCATGGAGGCCGCTCAGCTCACTTTGGCAATTAGGAGCACATTAAACACCACACGCATTATCCAGCAGTATATGCAGCACCAGAACCTGGCAAAGCGATACCGGGCGAGGAGGCGACGTCAGCGCGGTCACGTGAGTGATCAGGACATGGACACAGATTTCTCTGAAAGCATGGGCCCTGACAATGCATGCATCATGGTGCTAATGGGGCAGGTTCATGCTGTGGAACGCCGATTCTGGGCTCGGGAAACAAGCACAGACTGGTGGGACCGCATAGTGTTGCAGGTCTGGGACGATTCCCAGTGGCTGCGAAACTTTCGCATGTGTAAGGGCACTTTCATGGAACTTTGTGACTTGCTTTCCCCGCCCTGAAGCGCAAGAATACCAAGATGAGAGCAGCCCTCATAGTTCACAAGCGAGTAGCAATAGCCCTGTGGAAGCTTGCAACGCCAGACAGCTACTGGTCAGTCGGTAATCAATTTGGAGTGGGCAAATCTACTGTGGGGGCTGCTGTGATGCAAGTAGCCCACGCAATCAAAGATCTGCTGATGTCAAGGGTAGTGACCCTGGGAAATGTGCAGGTCATAGTGGATGGCTTTGCTGCAATGGGATTCCCTAACTGTGGTGGGGCTATAGACGGAACCCATATCCCTATCTTGGCACCGGAGCACCAAACCGGTGAGTACATAAACCGCAAGGGGTACTTTTCAATAGTGCTGCAAGCTCTGGTGGATCACAAGGGACGTTTCACCAACATCAACGTGGGATGGCTGGGAAAGGTACATAGAATCATAGAATATAAGGGTTGGAAGGGACCCCAGAAGGTCATCTAGTCCAACCCCCTGCTCGAAGCAGGACTAAATCCCAGTTAAATCATCCCAGCCAGGGCTTTGTCAAGCCTGACCTTAAAAACCTCTAAGGAAGGAGATTCTACCACCTCCCTAGGTAACGCATTCCAGTGTTTCACCACCCTCTTAGTGAAAAAGTTTTTCCTAATATCCAATCTAAACCTCCCCCACTGCAACATGACGCTCGCATCTTCAGGAACTCTGGTCTGTTTCAAAAACTGCAGGAAGGGACTTTATTTCCAGACCAGAAAATAACTGTTGGGGATGTTGAAATGCCTATAGTTATCCTTGGGGACCCAGCCTACCCCTTAATGCCATGGCTCATGAAGCCGTACACAGGCAGCCTGGACAGTAGTCAGGAGCTGTTCAACTACAGGCTGAGCAAGTGCAGAATGGTGGTAGAATGTGCATTTGGACGTTTAAAGGCGCGCTGGCGCAGATTACTGACTCGCTTAGACCTCAGCGAAACCAATATTCCCACTGTTATTACTGCTTGCTTTGTGCTCCACAATATCTGTGAGAGTAAGGGGGAGACGTTTATGGCGGGGTGGGAGGTTGAGGCAAATTGCCTGGCTGCTGGTTACGCCCAGCCAGACACCAGGGCGGTTAGAAGAGCACAGGAGGGCGCGGTACGCATCAGAGAAGCTTTGAAAACCAGTTTCATGACTGGCCAGGCTACGGTGTGAAAGTTCTGTTTGTTTCTCCTTGATGAAACCCCCCGCTCCTTGGTTCACTCTACTTCCCTGTAAGCTAACCACCCTCCCCTCCTCCCTTCAGTCACCGCTTGCAGAGGCAATAAAGTCATTGTTGCTTCACATTCATGCATTCTTTATTCATTCATCACACAAATAGGGGGATGACTACGAAGGTAGCCCAGGAGGGGTGGTGGAGGAGGGAAGGAAAATGCCACACAGCACTTTAAGCACAGCACTTTAAAAATTTACAACTTTAAAATTTATTGAATGACAGCCTTCTTTTTTTTGGGCAATCCTCTGTGGTGGAGTGGCTGGTTGGCCGGAGGCCCCCCCACCGCGTTCTTGGGCATCTGGGTGTGGAGGCTATGGAACTTGGGGAGGAGGGCGGTTGGTTACAGAGGGGCAGCAGTGGCAGTCTGTGCTCCAGCTGCCTTTGCTGCAGCTCAGCCATACACTGGAGCATACTGGTTTGGTCCTGCAGCAGCCTCAGCATTGAATCCTGCCTCCTCTCATCACGCTGCCGCCACATTTGAGCTTCAGCCCTGTCTTCAGCCCGCCACTTACTCTCTTCAGCCCGCCACCTCTCCTCCCGGTCATTTTGTGCTTTCCTGCACTCTGACATTATTTGCCTCCATGCATTCGTCTGTGCTCTGTCAGTGTGGGAGGACAGCATGAGCTCGGAGAACATTTCATCGCGAGTGCGTTTTTTTTTTTCTTTCTAAGCTTCACTAGCCTCTGGGAAGGAGAAGATCCTGTGATCATTGAAACACATGCAGCTGGTGGAGGAAAAAAAAAGGGACAGCGGTATTTAAAAAGACACATTTTATAAAACAGTGGCTACACTCTTTCAGGGTAAACCTTGCTGTTAACATTACATACATAGCACATGTGCTTTCATTACAAGGTCGCATTTTGCCTCCTCCCACCGCGTGACTACCCCCCTCAACCTTCCCCCTCCCTGTGGCCAACAGCAGGGAACATTTCTGTTTAGCCACAGGCAAACAGCCCAGCAGGAATGGGCTCCTCTGAGTGTCCCCTGAAGAAAAGCACTCTATTTCAACCAGGTGACCATGAATTATATCTCACTCTCCTGAGGATAACACAGAGAGATAAAGAACGGATGTTGTTTGAATGCCAGCAAACATACACTGCAATGCTTTGTTCTACAATGATTCCCCAGTACGTGTTACTGGCCTGGAGTGGTAAAGTGTCCTACCATGAAGGACGCAATAAGGCTGCCCTCCCCAGAAACCTTTTGCAAAGGCTTTAGGACTACATCTAGGAGAACCGCAAATGCCAGGGCAAAGTAATCCTTTCACATGCTTGCTTTTAAACCATGTATAGTATTTTAAAAGGTACACTCACCAGAGGTCCCTTCTCCGCCTGCTGGGTCCAGGAGGCAGCCTTGGGTGGGTTCGGGGGGTACTGGCTCCAGGTCTAGGGTGAGAAACAGTTCCTGGCTGTCGGGAAAACCGGTTTCTCCACTTGCTTGCTGTGAGCTATCTACAACCTCCTCCTCATCATCATCTTCTTCGTCCCCAAAACCTGCTTCAGTATTGCCTCCATCTCCATTGAAGGAGTCAAACAACACGGCTGGGGTAGTGGTGGCTGAACCCCCTAAAATGGCATGCAGCTCATCATAGAAGCGGCATGTTTGGGGCTCTGACCCAGAGCGGCTGTTCGCCTCTCTGGTTTTCTGGTAGGCTTGCCTCAGCTCCTTCAGTTTCACGCGGCACTGCTTCGGGTCCCTGTTATGGCCTCTGTCCTTCATGCCCTGGGAGATTTTCACAAAGGTTTTGGCATTTCGAAAACTGGAACGGAGTTCTGATAGCACGGATTCCTCTCCCCAAACAGCGATCAGATCCCGTACCTCCCGTTCGGTCCATGCTGGAGCTCTTTTGCGATTCTGGGACTCCATCATGGTCACCTGTGCTGATGAGCTCTGCATGGTCACCTGCAGCTTGCCACGCTGGCCAAACAGGAAATGAGATTCAAAAGTTCGCAGTTCTTTTCCTGTCTACCTGGCCAGTGCATCTGAGTTGAGAGTGCTGTCCAGAGCGGTCATAATGGAGCACTCTGGGATAGCTCCTGGAGGCCAATACCATCGAATTGTGTCCACAGTACCCCAAATTCGAGCCGGCAACGTCGATTTAAGCGCTAATCCACTTGTCAGGGGTGGAGTAAGGAAATCGATTTTAAGAGCCCTTTAAGTCGAAATAAAGGGCTTCATTGTGTGGACGTGTGCAGGTTTACATCGATTTAACGCTGCTAAATTCGACCTAAAGTCCTAGCGTAGACCAGGGCTTAGTATCCATGGAGACTGAAGCCTGTTTCGGTAGGGCTGTCCTGCAGTCATTGTTTAGCTAGGACTCCTACTACCCATCTCTGGGCAAGTAGACATTTGCTTGTTAGTCACCAAGTATGGAATCCATATGGACAATCTCTTGGAGAAGAAAGCCAGTTGCTTACCTTACAGTAAGTGTGGTGCTTTGAGATGTATTGTCCACCTAGATTACCACTCTTCTTCCTGGTCACAATGGAGTCCTTCTACGGGAGTCTGTATTGGCAATGGAACTGAGGGATGGTTGGGCTCATTCTGCCCTTTGTGCCCTCATGAAAAGGACCTGGGGATTACAGTGGATGAGAAGCTGGATATGAGTCAGCAGTGTGCCCTTGTTGCCAAGAAGGCCAACGGCATATTGGGCTGTATTAGTAGGAGCATTGCCAGCAGATCGAGGGAAGTGATTATTCCCCTCTTTTCGGCACTGGAGAGGTCACACCTGGAGTATTGCATCCAGTTTTGGTCCTCCCACTAGAGAAGGGATGTGAACAAATTGGAGAAAGTCCAGCGGAGGGCAACGAAAACTGTTAGGAGGGCTGGGGCACACGACTTACAAGTAGAGGCTGAGAGAACTGGGGTTATTTAGTCTGCAGAAGAGAAGAGTGAGGGAATTTGATAGCAGCCTTCAACTACCTGAAGTGGGGGTTCCAAAGAGGTTGGAACTTTGCTGTTCTGAGTGGTGGCAGATGACAGAACAAGAAGCAATGGTCTCAAGTTGCAGTGGGGAGGTCTAGGTTGGATATTAGGAAACACTATTTCACTAAGAGGGTGGTGGAGCACTGGAATGGGTTACATAGGGAGGTGGTGGAATCTCCATCCTTAGAGATTAAGGCCCTGCTTGACAAAGCCTTGGCTGGGATGATTAGTTGGTGCTGGTCCTGCTTTGAGCTGGAGGTTGGACTAGATGACCTCCTGAGGTCTCTTCCAACCCTAATATTCTATGATTCTATGTGGAGGAGCATAAGGATCTCTGGCAAAGGCACGGCACCAACAAACACTGCTGGCCAAAATCATCCAGTGTCACACACATGGGGCCCTGGAATCTGTGTGGACCACACATCTCAAAAACACAGTTACTGTGGGGTAAGTAACTGTTCTTTTCTGTTCCTGGCACTGCAGTGTGACTTTCGGCAAGTCAAGTCACGTCACCTCGCTCTGCCTCAGTTTCCCCTCCCACCTTTTCTCTGTCTTGTCTATTAAGATTGTAAACTCTTCAGGGCAGGGATTATCTCTGACTGTGTTTGTATGATGTTTAGCACAATGGAGCCCATATCTCAGGTGTGGTCTCTAGGTGTTGCAATAATACATAAAACTAATAATGTCAAAACCTATTTGAGAAACTTGATCCAAGGTTTAAAAAATTACAGTTATAATTTGCATAATTAAGGCAGGAATACCTGAGTATTCAAGTGCTTCAGATTTCAGCCATGTCTAATCCATATGCCATGGTCGCCTCCACTGTGAGCACCATGTCACTGATGGATGCATGACTATCTGATGTTGGTGATTCCAATATGAAATTCTAAATGTGTGTGTTCAGTGAGTCAACTGCTAAGAAAATGGGAAAAATCTTGTGTATAAATTCATTTTTAAAAAATTTCTCTTAAGAACTGCCACACTCAGGAATCTACAAATACTACAGGCTAAATTTTCAAACAGGGGCACCTTCGTTTTCCTTACACTGTAAGGGCAGCTTCTCCTTTTTGCTGATCTCATGAGTACTTAGCTTCTTGTGTTAGAAAATTAATCCCTAAATATCAAATCGGGATTTAAGAGGGAAGAAATGAAAACCAAGAGCAGCAAGCAACAATAGTAAATCTGTTTGAAACGTGTTTCAAAGATACAGGAGTAAAAACTAACCACAGATTTCTGGGGTGCAGGTGCTCCACTGGGAGAGAGCCACAGACCACTGGGGTCCAGGCATTGGACTAAAAGGGAACTTTTCCACTCCAAAACCTTACATGGTGTTAGCTGGCCAGGGTTTGCTGTTAACTACACTGATCTCATTCTATTGCGGTCTTAGGCTGGTCATTCTGGTTTCAGTAGATCCACAGCATGGTTAGTCTCCATCTACGGTTAGGGAGAAATCTGAAGGGAGCCTGATAAATCTGAATAGATGACATTAGGAGTATATGGAGTATAAGGAATGCCTTCTAGATACTCCAATGAAATTGCATCAGAGCAAAGTGCACAATCACAAGCTAACACTTAAGCACATAGCTAATGGATTTTGGTACTAAAGTCCATGGGAGTTTTCCATTGTCTTCAGTGGACTTTGGATAAGGTCCTTAGGACTGTTTGATACTGACTGGAATGCTAAAAGTCTGAAGCTGTCCCTCCAGTGCCCAACTCTCTTCCCTTCTCCCTGACTCAGCCGTTAGTGTTGCTGTTGCTACAAAAATAAACTGAACAGCCCCTTTTCCCACAAATAAGCTAATTAATGCTGCTTTTGGCTTTTTTAGCCAGTCACCTCCGGCCAGGGAAGTCAAGACTCTTGAGTGTAGCTATAGTGCAATAGAATTGCTGTTTGACTTTTGTAGCCTCTCATCTTGAACTGACATTACACCCCACTTATCACTCTGTGTGTCAGGAGCCATATCTCAGCCTCTGGCATGGCAGCAGCAGTGTCTCTGGATGAAAAGTCTGCATGTTTACTCTTCGGGCGGTTATAATCGTCCTCCATTGTCAGCATTCAGGCTTGGTCGCCCGTTAGTAACAACCTTCCCAGCTGCACTGAAAGAGGGAGTACTGAGCAAACACTGCATGGGTGAGCCGATTAAAAAGGTGCCAGCCGCTGGAGACAAGAGCAAGCCCGAAATATTTATTTCGGGAAGCCATTATGTGCGGGTGGGTCTCAGCTTGGCTCTATGACTGATCAGACATATGGTGCCTGATCTCCTGGGGAATCTGTTTTTCTTTATTTGTAAACATTGTGCCTTGACAATTATTTTTCTACATCCTTCTCAGCCTTAGCCATAGAGAAAACATGCAGAAAGCCTAAGGGCTTGTTTACACACCATAATTGCCCTCCTTCAACTCAACCAGTATAAAGTGGTACAATGCCCCTAGCTGAATGCGGGTATACTGGTATAGCTGTTCCCATATGGGGAAGGGAATAAGCTATGCCAATATAAAACACCTTTATGCTGGTATAACTGCATCTGCACTCAGGGTTGTATCAATGTGATTGTATTGGTAAAAAAACCACTCTTACCAGAATAGTTTAGACTGGTCCAAATCTGTGTATTAGGCCAGAGCTAAAAGTAAGAACAAAGTTTCAAGTCGGGGTTTTTTTTTTGGTACATCCATTCTTCTACCTATCGTCACATGGGCCTATTTATTGTGCAGCCACAGAATCCACTGTGCTCAAGAATCTGAGGCTATGCAATAGCCATTCAAACCAACTGAATAATTTAGCTCTCAGATCTATGCATCAAAAGAAAATCTACAGTTGTGTGATTTATAATCCTAGGAAGGACAGAGAGGAGGAGCCTGGGTAGAATGTTGGCTGGGAATCTGATCTCTGTTTTATTCCTGACTGTCAGTCGTTCATACTATGATCTCGGTCAAGTCACACAACCTGCCGGGCTTCAGTTTATGACCGACTTGTAAAATAGGACTTTCCTGCCTTGCATGTGTATTGGAAGGCTTCATTCACTGTTTGTAAAGTGCTTTGGGATACTCTGATGGAAGATGATGCAGAAGAGAAAAATACTCCTATTGGCAGAACGCACTGGCAGTGTTAGGTACCAAAGTTTAACTAACATTAAAACATAAGGGGAAGCTGTGAAGTGGAGAGATAAAATGTACTTATTGTATTTTCTGGTCCATTAGGATCTTTCCCAAAGCAAAATTCACTAGTCCTATGACAAGGGTGAGTGTAGCAATGATGGCTGAAGTTACTCATGTCGTATGTCCATAGGTGACTTTGAATAGGTCTGGTTAGAAAAATTTAGAATAGCTTGAAATATTGATGACAAATGATGACATCCATGTAATAAAAACCTGTCTGCTAGAATCTGGACCAAGATCAGCAGCTCATGATTTACAATCAGACGTGCCCACAGTTGATTTAGAAGAGAAAGGTCGTCTTCCTTAAGTGGGCAATGTTCTGGATGATGTCCTGTGTTTTCAGTGTTCACAAACAGGTGTGTGTATCTCCTGGAAACTCCATTACTCTGCTGCAGGCTATGGTTATTCTGTCCTCCTCCGGCCTAAAGGAAATGTTCTTGAAATAGCTTTAATAACACAGGAGGCTGGGAGACAAGCTCATGCCTGGTATCACTTCTCTGAAGTCTGTCATACATTTGTGCTTGTGTATTTAGCAGACCTCCTACGACTGTGTCCTGAGCCAGTAGTGAGAGAGAGTAGACTGGCCTGTATTCTCTTTATACGTTCATTTCCTTCAGGCAATGTATTGAGCCATAGTTGACAGGTAGCTGCCATTATTACAATTGTTTCTTATTAGTTTATCCAACTGGGCACTTGGAAACTCCCCTAACTAAGGAACAGATTTGGCCACCCTTATGTTGAGTCATACCTGACTCTGTGGTTAGTCCTGCTTATTCCAGTGGAACTACTCAGGCCCTGATTAGAGAGGGAGTCTTCTGCCGAGACAAGTTGTTCGGGTTGTTCCGGGGTTGAGCCCTCCCTTGGGAGGCGCTGAGCACTTTCATCAGCAGCTATGGGGCTCTCAACGCTACTCTGGCCACACAGCCTTCAGGACAGGTCAGTTTGTCATTTCACTTCTCCGCTTGGAAAAGACCAATGGGGAGGAACGGGACAAGGGACGAATGTTTTTCTCTGGGTGCTGTTGTTGCCGCCTCAGGATCAGGGCACTACCCCCGTTCCGGTTGTCTGAAATCAGGATAATCCACTGAATGCTGCATCTCCGGGACTAGTCCAAAGTCCA